AGATAAGATAAGGAAATTTCATGTACAAATGCGAGCTCAACCCAAACCTGAGTGTGTGTGCGTGTGTCTTTTGTCTTCTATTATTACATGTCAATAGAATTGCCACAATTTTATTAATGAAGATATAAGAACTGAGCTTATTAAAAAAATAGTTACTGAGTATTCAACTTTTTATCGTTTTATTTTCGTTTTCTTTACATGGTATAAAATAAAGTCCCTTTTTTCCAAAGATAAACGTATATACGACGATATATGTCGTAATAAACATGTTTTTGTGCGCTTACATTGCAAACGCTGAGTAAACCTTGCGAGATAGATCAAAATGAAGTAGGTACCTACTACGGAATTGTATATCTTAAAAGTTCTACAAAAAAGTCCGCGATGGTATCAGTCTACCTCTTAAGAATAACTTACAGTAACCATTTTTATCTTTTTACATATTACAAAAAATAATGGGTAATTTACGAAGCTATTTTAAACAATACATTTTAATTCCTTATCCAAATAAATACTTTTGATACGTTGTGCATTTAATGTACATCAAATTTGCCTTTTACAGCATATAATTAAAGTAAACATCTTAGTAGATGTTAGATATTTAAATTTTCGCTGCGTCGGCGTCGTGCAGTACGTCCATCCCGGGTGGCAGCGGCCAGAAGGAGCGAAGCGGACCTATAAATATTATATAGTATAAAGATGTCCTGTTCTATAATCTTATCGTAATAATAGTATAATTAATAACTACGCACTCACACCACAATAGTAGTATCAACAATGCACATGTGCGAAGCCGGGGCGGATTGCTAGTTTCATAATATAAGTATGAATGCAAGGAACATGTCTGTAGGTACATAATGTCAATACAACGGTCCTCTTTTACTGTTCTTATCATCAATGAAACCCGTATCAAAATTTGCTGCGTGATTTAGAAGCAGAAACAGCGAAGCAACGAAAGTGGAAAGCTAATTTTTTTTGTAAAGACATAACTGAAAAAATTATAACTTTCCTTGTCAATTTTTGTTAGTAAGCCTGAAAACATCATCATTATAAAATTCATATCAAGCTTAGATTACGTAAACCATCAATAATCACCATCGTCAAGCGATAAAAAAACACACTAGCTTAGCTGATTCTAAATAAACTGGCTCTGTCATCAGAAATTGGCTGAGGCAATAGAACCAGACACTTACATCTACAAAAGGTATTAAGAATTAAAAAGGACGGTGCATTAATTAAGCAAGCGTGGCGATCGACTGTGACACATAAACACAGACACATAAACATCGGACCGCTTTTACATCCCCTAGAACTAGGTGGTTCTTACTTACTCTTTATATACATAGGCATTGATTGTTTCTTTCTTCTCTCTCTTGTTAGTCGTTTAGTGATCATGATCATACTAGTTTATACCTACTCTCTCATCTATACTAATATTATAAAGCTGAAAAGTTTGTTTGTTTGAACGCGCTAATCTCAGGAACTACTGGTCCGATTTGACAAATTCTTTCAGTGTTAGATAGCCCATTTATCGAGGAAGGCTATAGGCTATATATCATCACGCTAAGACCAATAGGAGCGGAGAACCAATGAAGAATGTTTCAAAAACGGAGAAAATTTATTACTATTGAGGGACGCAGACGTAGTTGCGCGGGTCAGCTAGTGTTGAATATACTCAAAGGCGACAAGGACTTAGAGCGCCATACATCATAAACTCACTTCGTTTATGCCCTAAGAGGTAGATGTACATATGTATAAGCCCACATCACCGATCATAATTGTAGTCCCATTCACGTAATAGGGATCAGCCAACTGGCTATGTATGTATTTCTGAATAAAAATACTTATATATTTCTAAATACACACATAATAGATAAATTACACCCATTCACATAAAAGCGCCCATCTCAAAATATTTGTCCGGGGTAGAAATCAAACTAGAAGGCCAATTCTCGTAACAAAAGTTCGGTCTCAATTCAGTTCCGATCAACTTTCGATCTCACAACAAAAGGTATATTCGTAGTAAAGTATATAAACCTCCAACGTTGACTGTAATGTGATTTTATCGTATTGTAACCGAAAATTGAATCGGTAATCTGCTAGTCTTAGTAATACCTTACTATTTTACTAGAATTGGCCTTTAGCAATTGGATTAGCAGTCAGTATAGCTAACCAAGAGACCAACAAAACACTCACACACTCTTTTTGTTGCTGCCAAAGGGATTCGTTCAACTAAAAACTACTATAAGTCGCACAATACATGATTTATAATGACGATATTTTCAAAACGTTCACCCCGCACAAAAGTTATTGCCTCCAGTTATACCATCAACCTGAATTGTCACTTTTTATGACAGGTAACTGGTATACTCGTAACTTATAGTACTTTCACTGAGACCAATATTTATACTATTATACTCAAACTATACCTATTAATCCTTTTATTCACTTTTTAGGGATCTGTACCTCAAAAGGTAAAAAAGGAAATAAGATCACTTTCTTGTCCGTCTGTCTGTCCGTATCATGTCGTCTGTCTGTCTGTGCCAGATCAGGTCCAGATCGAACCAGGTCTATGGTCCCTATTAGGTATATAAAAAACAAGGTCCTGAGTCAACACGATAAAAAGATATTAAAAATACTTTACTTTACCAAAATTTACCTTAATTTTCAACTTTTTTATTTTTCAGAATTTTCTTTTTACTTGTGCTGTAAGACCTTGCTTTTAACCAAAATTGTCATTTCTAGGTCAACCGGAAGTACCCTATAGGTTTTGGGTCGAAAACCTATATGGTAGTTCCCGTTGACCTAGAATCACGAAATTTGGTAAAAAGAAACGTCTTACAACACAAATAAAATAATAACTCCAAAAAATAAAAAAAGTTGAAAATTAAGATTCATTTTGGTACTTACAAATTTTCGCGAAAATCTACGAAAAATCTGGTTAGGTACGGAACCCTCGACGCACGAGTTCGACTCGTAACCTGACCGGTTTTTTTTATGAAATTCTGTATATAAAATACAGAATTTCAAATAGGATCATAACGGTACCTAATATGTCTCAAACAAGGCTTCTAGATAAATTGTTTTAATACCCAAAACAGCGACAAAATTCAATATTATGTTTTACAAGTTAGCTGATAAAATTAATTACACGTAGGTATAAGTAAAACATTGTTTTTTAAATCAATGTGAGGGCTATTAAATATAATTTTTTATAGATAAAAAAACAGTTCTCTGGTCTAACTTGAGATATCACGTTATTATAAGGAACACAATTAATTTATATTACGTCCAATTGATAAAAATGTATCACAGAGTGATTTATGAAATAAATTATTAAGTACATACGGGTACGACTGTTCTCAGATAGGATATTATTTTATCAGTTACTAGCCATCGCTAACAGGATTATTTTTAAAGGATTTAAAAATAACAAACTTGCACACAACCGTTCCTCCCTTATTTCACCCGCTTAGGGGAAAAATTTGCAAAAAATCCTTTCTTAGTGGATGCTTACAACATAAAAAGTATCAGCTACCAAAATTTTAAGTTTGTAGCCCCCAGCGGCTTAGACTCTGCGTTAATGAATTAGTCAGTTACGACAAGTATTTTTTATTGTAAAGTAAAGATTTAGTAACTCTAATTAAAGTACTTATTTGGTGGCTGGGCGCCAAATTCCTCTGTTATGTGCTTGAAATACCCGATATTATATTATTTTATAGAAAACAATAAATATTTATTATATTCTATTATATTCTCTTTTATGTCACTAACGTTAATTTAACGTAAAAAGTGTAAAATATAATTTTATAGGTAAGTTAAGTATTTTTTTACAATTTTATGCAATCTTATCGTGAATCACGACAAGGCACTAGAATTCATATTTTGGGCTATTTATTTCTATTTTTCAGAAAGATTCAAGTAATAAAGTGGAGTATAATGGTATTTTCAGCCATTGGTGGTTTTCCGATGATCTCAGGACCCTGAGATGTGTTTGAGAAACCTTCCTTGAGACAGTGAGCAGTAAAGGTATTAAACAGTAGGAGGAAAAGAACAACAGGATAACATAGGAGGGCAAGAAAATGAGCATTTCGGTGAAGACCGGAGTAACTTGAGCTTATTACATAATTAAAATAATATGCAAATGTTTTGTAAATGCTCAACTTTATTCAGTTGGTTATCATCATGTTACGCAGTCTTTTGAAAAATCATATTGACATAAATACTTCACAAGCGTCTTCCTGCAGCCCTGGGTTCCAGGACATTGTGGGAACCTCAACCATTCAATTTTCAAAATGAGTCTGGGACTACCAACGAAAATAACCTGACTTTTTACAGGGTTAGCAATGAGGCCATGATCTGCACTTACGAGATGACACGATGAAAGAAGTTTCTAGGAAATAGGGTTAATAAATATTGTAACGGGTTTTTGTGAAAAATCGTCACCTTGCGGCACATCAGGAGAAGTATTAAACCATGAAGATAAGATTTCTTCCATTCGAAAGAGGTAACTACGAAACCGATCGAGCACCGTGGCAGATATGTTAATTCCTTCAGATGCGGAGTATGGCTAATATTGTGTCGAAATCGACAGCCATTAAATGTATTTCCAGTAGTCACTAGAAAAAGGTCGATTTTTTTTATTTTTTCAATAGGATTCAATGTTTACACACTGTTTCCCGCTAACTTGCAAGTCGCTGGCGCCGACATCATCATCATCATCATCATGAACAGCCTTTAATAGTCTACTGTTGGACATAGGCCTCTCCTTAGAAAGAAGGTTTTGGCCTACGACACTATGGCTTAACTAAACCATTGAACAATCGATCGAATGAAAATACAGTTTTAGGTTAGATTATCAAATCGAGTATGTATAGAGTGAGCGACGAAACACAAACAATGTGTGCTCAGTATCGAGTTGTCTCGCGCCGGGAAAGCGCGTCTTGCCGTAAACGTGCGTTATCAAGTTTCTGTTTTTAATTTTTTTAAATAGTGTTTTCGAAATGGCGTGCCCTATGAGGTTGGTTCTTTTCTTAGGTTATTTTTTTATTTATTCTAGGCAAGATATTTTATGTGCGTACTACACAATCAACATAAGTAATCAAAATTTTTTTCTAATATATATGTACCTACTAACCAACTTAATTACCTATACATACATACATGATGAAGAAATGATCAAAAATAAATATAAAAATAAGGGGTTTCACGTGACTGTTATCAATGCACTGGCTGGGCTTCTAACCCGTAACCTCTCAATATTAAAATTGTAGTCTGAATCGCTTGCGCTCCTTTTTTGTTTATTTTAAGACGTCTATCAAGAGGTTCTGGATATTTTTTGATTGTGTACTACTACCTGTACTGGTACATTTTCTCATTAAAGCGGAATGGGTTTTTGTTTTAACCTGTTTATTTAACAAAAACAAAAGACATTGTATAATTAATCACAAAAATAATTAAATGACGGTTTTTCTGAGCATGACAATAGACAACAATAGCAAACTTTTTGTCGTTCGAAATCATTGTTTGTAATAATTTTATTATTTATTCATAACCTGAAAACATATTTTTGCTTTTCTGAGAAGATAATGAGTCTAAACGGGTTTTGTTAAATATGCACAAAGTTAATTTAACCATACTAGTTATAATGTTATATTTGGCTAAGTTTGTTGAGTTGAAAACTAATAAGTTACCTATTTAAACTTGTGAATGTTACAGTTTGATTATTTCGGTAGATGTAGTCAGTCTCATTTACTGACTTAAATTCTTGAGTCAAATCAAACGAACAAACTGTAACACGTGTGATCTCCTTGTTAGTCATTTCGATGTTATTCATTCTTAAAATTAAGTTACTACTAATATTTAAGCATATTTAAATTTCATTAAGTACACTTATTAACATAAATATTTCGCAGGGTGATGATAGTTTTAAAATTAAAGAATAGGTAGGTAGTTGAGAATTGCCTAAATCATTATCTTTTCATCAAACATGTGAAGCGTTGTTTTTATATTTTTATGATAGCAAAGCATTCATTACGTCACGACACTTATAGAATTCATTTGATGATCATAAAATAAAGAAGCTAATCATTGAAAGAAAAAAAAAAGAAAAAACTCGGCTGCGTAAAAATCATCATCAACAACAGCCTTTATCCATCACCGTTTCCTGTCATAAAACCCTATGTACCTACCTAGTTAACGCCAATACACTTGACCCCTTATTTATATGATGTAGACGGCACTAGATTTAAATATTCTCAATTAACTTTTAGTTACGCCTCAACGAATTTACGTACGTTATTTTTACGCATTTGATTCAGTATAAAACCTTATCTCAAAATTGTGAGGCCAGAGGTCAAGAAATCTTGTCATCGCACTTATGAATACGCACTTTTTGTTCATATTTAGGAAGTATACTTACGTATTAACTGACCTAAAACAATTAGGTTTACTCATTTCGATTGTATTTTGTTTTTTGTTTGTTACGCCAGAATTACGTCATTTATGAATCTATTTGGAAAATTCTTTTATTGTTTGGGAAGGTGTCCCAATTAATCTCATTAAAATTTGAGGAAAAAATAGCACCCCTAAAGGTGGAAAAAGACTAAAGAATACAGTATAGTATAATACAAACAAAGTAGTTATATACTTTTTCATATAATAAAAAATTAGTAAGTATATATAAAAAAAATGTAATGAAAATTCAAAGCAGCAGCATTTTAAAAGACATCTCTAAAAAAACCGCTCACATGACAAAATCATTATTTTCTAGCTTGACAGAAAATAATGATTTCCGGTTCCAGATAGAAGATTATAATAATGGAGTAAGAGTGTAACGTATCAGCACATATCGTAGTAGAGTTCATAGTAGTTGGGTAAACTATTGACACAGTTTACAAGTTTTGCTGCTTTTACGATAATTATGATTTTCAAAAACCGAAGTTATCCTTTATTAGCAAATGTTTTTCTCTTGGTAAATAAGTGCACAACTCACTTTACTGTTTGATTGATTGAAATGAATCAATATCTTTGTATCACTAATTTTGAATTGCCGTAAATACCGTCATAATTACAACATAATCTATTTCTGTAACGGCTTTCGTCATATCTTCATTCACAAGAGTCATTATCATAACCAAAAACACACACTTTCGTTATGAGATGTGATGATTAATTATTGTGAGCACAACAAATGGTGATCAAACACCAAAAAGTCATGAAACAAGTAAACAGGTTTGATGTGTAAATCAAGACTTGCTCATGATAATAATTACAAGGTACAATGCCTTTTTTGATTACTCAACTCGACTCGATTTCGGCAACTATACACACTTCATGTCGTGAGGTCCCAGAGACATTCGCGATGCTATGGAAACATAAATGAACAGATAATTAGTAAAGAGCTGTCAAGTACTTAGCTAGCTTTAGCTTTCTTCGACATTATTGCGAGTGACTAATTATAGTGATATATAAACAGTTTTTAAACGAACCACAAAGTGTGTTGCACGACGTCTGCTTTGCTCAGCTCAGCTCAACTCCACTCCGCTACAATGGAACCACTTTTTGCTGCTCATCTCTGCTCCACTCCGCCTCTACAAGTCCAATACATTTTCCTTCTCTTAGATCAATCGCTTTCTAAACATTGAACTGATATTATTTTACATAGTTACATTATAACATTATACAACATATTTACATTATAACTCAAAAAGTTCTAATATTAACGATCTTTGACCGTACACAAATCAAACAACGCGTTTACCGTTTGAAATGTATGAATACATTTATTCTTATAAAGGAACCAGTCTGATATTAACGAATTACTTCAGTTCATTAACAAGTCCAACTTGAAATACCTGTTCCTCATTTGAAAAAAATAAACATGGGTAACAGTAGCAAGTTATAGGTAGGTACGAGGACCAAATTAGGTACAAGTTCGATATACTCGTATGTATGTGTCGTTGTAATTAATTTCGTTTGCTTCGACATCTGAACGAGAAAGCTGACTATCCGTCACCATTTCAGGTAGGTATAAGAAATTTCTTGTGTTACTCAGCGGCTTACAAAACTATGTTCCATAATGATGTGAATAAAGAAAGAGAAAAAGCTAATTGTTTCAACTAAATATCATCATCGAATATACGATAAGTTTATAAAATTAGCACAGGAGATTCAGAATTCTCGTAATACAAATTCGTTCAAAATTCAGTTCCGATCTACTCTCGATCTCACAAATGTCATAAAGGGTATTCTCGTTGTAAAGTTTTAAACATCCAACGTTGACTGTAATGTGATTATATCGTATTCTGACCGAACAATGAATGGGTATTCTGCTAGTCTTAGTCATACTTTACTACGAGAATACTTTTTATGACATTTGTGACATCAAGACACTGAATTTTGAATGAGTTTTTATTACGAGAATTGACCTGATATTACGATTGACAAATAAACCCACCAAACAAGTTATTGTTCGTGTGTATGTAGTCGGGGTGTCAAAAGTTTTCATTTTGATTCTGTATGGAATTTAATGAAATCTGCCGGAAACTGAACATGGCCCACATAATGGACGAGGTCGGGAAGATACTTTTTTTATTGCAAAATAACTGAAAACCGGTATTTTTTTATAATAATAATAATAATATATCGCTTTAATGTACACCAGGTATAAATATATAATAATTAACTTAAATTAGGTTAGACAAGTACAAAAGGCGGCCTTATCGCTCAGAGGCAATCTCTTACTTAACCGTGGTATGGAGAGAAAACATGAAGACGAAGAAGGAGAGAAAACATGAGGTATAGTTACGAGTATAATGGTGTTAGAAAATAGTTAGAAAGAGGAAATCAAAGTAGTATATGTAAATATAAAAGATAGTGATAGTTCCACATAGTATATATTTGTTGTACTTTGGTGAGTATACTATGTGCAGAACAAGGCTAGTGGTGTTATTAGATACATATAATAAACTAAATTTATAACTACTAAAAACATATATTGTATAAAACCTTATTGACTAAGTAGAAAGTTAATAACGTATGCTACATTTATATCTCCCGAGTAATATTGTTTCGCTTGCTTTTTGAAGGCAGCAAGTGTTTGTACACGTTTATATAATAAAATAACATCTCGGAAAAAAGGGTTATAAGGATAAAAATTAAATACAAAAGTTGTTCAGCTGATGATTTTACATAGGTATTAAGTATTTTACGCCTTTTGTACATTATATATCTGACACTTTTATGCACCATACTTCTTGTGAAACGGTGTACAAATATAGAGTTTTCTATCTGTCTGTCTATTTTAAAGAGTTGGATTTTTTCCTGCATGCGATATAGCTGTAAAAAGAGCAAAACAAAAATATGATAAAAAAGAGGGAAGAAATCGTTTTTCATCGTTGATATTTGGGTATTAATATTCTTAACAAAATGCACTTGGACCGGTTTTTCAAAAGCAATTAGGTGATCTATTGTAAAATTGTTAATTTGAAAGTTTAGAACGCTGTAAATCCTGTCGCCGAAAATTGGAATCGGTAGGTATTAACATTAACTTTACGTAAGTCATTTTTTTTCTCTTAATTTTATTGTTATTCAGAAATATATAATATATGTATGAATATACAGAAACAAATGCCGAGATATTACATGGTCACTGAAAAAAAACCGCTTTTTAAAGTTATTTTGCAATAAATAAGTATCTTCCCGACCTCGTCCATTCTAACTTCCTAAGTAAAGTAATTAAATTCCATCCAAAATAGAAAAAACATGTTTTTTGAAGCCCCCGTTTAGTGACACCCCGACTAATGTGCTTCGCGTGCTTCTTTTTTTATTAAGAAAAATAATCGCAATTGTTCGCTTCAGCAGAACCACTATCTTCAAAGTATTGTTTTGATTCCAGTGATACAGATATCAGCACTTTCAATAATGCTTACATGTAGTAGATTTTTCTTGGTTCATTATATTTATTATATTTCAATAGATAGCATAAAAAGGAGTTGCCTTCAAGACTATAAAAGGATGACAAAATACAAGGTAAAGGATATATCTGCGTCTCTCAAAAGGTATAAATTTTGCCACATTTTTGCAACATTCTCCATTGATGATCAGCTCCTGTTAGTCATAGCGCGATGTTATATAGCCCATAACCTTCCTCGATAGATGCGCTCTATCCAATACTCAAAAAATGTCAGTTTTAACCAGTATTACCTGAGATTAGACAAAGAAACAAACTCTTCAGTTTTATATCCGTAAGTATAGATTGATTTATTATTGGAAATAGATCTTTTCGGATACGTTTGCCATATTTATATTCACCAAAAAGATTAAGATATTAGGATAGCAAAAAACCGTTCTCTATACGCTTCATTTAGAAAAATACACGGAGGACTTTACAATCATACATAAAACGGACACAAAGAACACCCAGACTAAGAACAACAATTTGTGGATCACACAAAGTGTCATTCCATGAGGGGTTTGAACCCACACTGGGCGTAGTAGGAAGCGGCGCGGCGTGGCGACCGCTTAAACCACTACGCCATCCGTGCAGTCACACATTAAAACAGTAGTTTAGCTGGTTTGTAGATATAAGCAGATAAAGGGCTAAAAATACAGTAGATTTCAGCATACAGTCGATATTTTAAAATGATAGTTTGTGTTTCGGTTTAGGTTTCTGCCGAAACTGAAACAAGGGCTGAAAGTTCAGCTTCGGATGAAAAACCTGTTCGGTCGGACACTAACCATAATACTTCTACTATTTATAAATATTTTAAAATTCATCGTGTAACATATATACGCAGAAACAAATGTTAAAGATAGAAAATAAAATGACACTTTTTATGAACTGTCCGCAGTAGGTACGTGCATAATATGTAATATGTGGGTATATTATTACGTAGGTAAGTCGATACTGTAATTTAATACTTTTAAGTTTACAACCTTGTCGATTTATTTTTTGTTACTTATTGATTTTTATGATTATAATATGAAAGGAACTCGCACTCAGGGTTTGGGTCTCGAAGTTCCGGGACTTTTTGTAAATTTAGTTGCCTCGAGGACCGCGACTCTCCGGTCGAGACTCGAGACGAGACACAGTTGCTCAAATTGTATTGTAATAACTTTTAACCGTACGAATCTATGTACGATTTGTTGGTAAGACCTTGGAATACATCTTTAATTGTATTTACTTTTGTCTTTATTTACTACCGTCGGACTACGGATCTATATCTATATAAATAAAAATGAATCGCCGAAATATTTGTATGCGCATAACCTCTGAACGACTGCACCAAATTGAATAATTATTTTTTTGTGTTCGTTATTGTCGTTCGTTATAAAATAAAATTTTAAAAAATGAACAGATTTTTGAAAATCTTATAATTTGTATTGTATTATTTATTGGTAGGTATTGTAAACGGAAGATTCTGTCTCCTTTGTTGTCATAAAGCACGTAACGTGTAACATTTCCGGTACTTTTTAATTTGACTGGTTTATCAGTTTCGATACATCTAATGTCAATATATGGAATTATTGATAATACAACTTATTTGAATCTACCAGAAGTGACATTTCCTTAGTCCGCGACTGTACACCACCCATGTGATGCTGAGGCGGGCATAAATAGTAAAACAAGTCTTGCAGGCATTTCACTATTTTAACTAAAATATGGCAGTACGAATTTCGCCGGGTCAGCTAGTTAGAAATAAACATGCAAATTATTTAAACTAAAATTAGCGTAAAAATTGTTCGGATTTACATTTATGTTCAATAAATGTTGCTTTTTTTTTTACAAAAACTGCCTTTTTATTAATACATTTCGCTAGCAATCAACTAGATAATTTTATTCTGAAAACTCCTGAAGTCCCGGGACTTTGAACGTAGGCTGTCTCGTGTCCCGGGACTTTGAAACTGTTGAGACTTCCTTAACCGTACTCGCAGTATGCCCCCTGCAATTCTAGACGTTGTACGTAAACCGTCACACTAATCAAATTTCTTAAAAAAAAACACTGAGTGCCGGACAATCGTAAAGAGTGTTTAAGTATGCTCTTGTAGTCAAAATGATTGTTTTTTTTTATGTACGTTTATATATGTATATTCTGTATCAATGAGTATATTTACAATAAAAATAATCTTTACCAAATAAAATTATAACTGATTATTAACTTAGTTCAACTGAGTTAGGAAAAAGATCTGGTATGTTTATAACGTAAGATACGAGAATAGTCTTGGTCATGGTTCTCAAACAGACAAGCCGATCGTACAAGTCACAAGTCGCTCGCAAGTGAATCTTTATTGGATTCCACTTGGAATCTATCCTACACACCTACCTAGTTAGAAATGCCTCACAAAATGCGATATCCTTAGGTTGAATGAATTGAGTGAATTAAGTTTTTACTCGTCTATAATGGGTAGTTGTAATAATCTACGAAACCATACATTGCGCGTAACCCGACTTGTACTTGGTCAGTTTCTATTTGAGAGTTAATTGGTACTTTAAATTTTTATTGACCTTACGGTGCCGCAGCTGTATAATTTCAGATGATTTTAATGGAACATACTCCTATATTCACACGAGATATTTAATAATCTCCTTTGTCCTTAGATCAGTAATGGACGACAGTATGGCGCAAGAGGGAAACCACCTTGGCAACGAAGCTGGCATGCTCTACGGAGAGTACCTGATGCTAGATAAACTGCTGTCCGCTCAAAGAATGCTCAGCACTGAATCATCAAAACCAGTTCATGATGAACACTTGTTCATCATTACCCACCAAGGTAAAATCGTGTCTTGTGATTTCAACTCTGTTATATTAAAATACTACTAGTTTATTGTACACAGAGAATGTTATGCGGCCATTTTTCGAGATACTAACTATACATTGAAAAGGACAGAGGCAAACGAGCGGACGGGAAGTGACTACCGCCACGAATAGTCACCTTTTTTTTCTGTGCGGAAATTCCTTCGGATAGCACCCACCGCTGGGATGGTTATGTCGGCCTCGAACCAACCAAAAACCGCATGCAGGTACCATACGCATACTAGTTGCAGGAAAACCAGGTGATAACCCTAGAAAGGAAATCCCTGGTACCACGACGTAACTCGGGCCATCTACGGCGTGTACATGATCCCCTCCTGTGTGGGAACCCCTATGTCCCCTTTGTGCTCCCGAAAGCCTGGCCTGCTTCTGCTAGGATGACAGATAGCCTCACCTACCACCCCCAGGCCTGCGCTTATGGAGTACAGAGGTAGTTTTCGCGACCTATGGCGCCTGAGTCGTCTGCGGTACCTGGCCCGTTCCCGGCCCTGGCGGGCCTTGAAAATTCTGAACCTCTCCCGGTCCCGCTCCGCCATCTCCTTCGCAATGTATAACTTGCTCGCAGAAGGAGACGGCGGAGATCCACGCACTCTCGCTTGGTACAATGGCAGCAATCACGTTACCGAGCGAGAATTTCCACTTCGATGGCCACCACGAGGCCACGCCCCCGCTCCACCCACGCTGGGCAGTCTGCCAGCGTTTGGAGCGCCGTGTCAACGGTCCGGCCATCGCAGTGGTGGCACTCAGACGCATCCTTTTCCGGTAATCACCTGCGTCAGCCGGTATGAGAGGATTACGTTATGCCTCTCGAGCCAATCCTCCATAACGGGTCTTACCGCCGCACTGTCTTCTTTTTCGCCTCTAAAACAGACATACTCTTTTTATCGGTTAATAAGATATATTAACTTATTACAAATGCTAGCTTAAAAATCCCGTGAAGCTCGCTTGCGTAGTTTAAAAATAATCCTCAAAACAAATTTCCAATCCCGGATTATTAAAAAGTTAAAAAAAATCGGGATAAGGATAAGGGATTGGCCTACCGGTGGTATCCTACTCTAAAAGAACAAACAAAACTCATAATTATGAACGCATTTTAAACAGGCTACGACTTATGGGGCCATGGAAACAGAAAAAATAGGATTTCGATTTTATTTTTTTCTGACTTTGTTCCGCTATAGTAAAAGCTAATAGACACTACTAACGATGAAAAAAAAATCTAAAAGCGCGGAATTTCGTAGAAAAAAAATATTGAACAATGCCGGGATTTTTCGATAACACTCGACTTATCCCGCAACTTTTTATTTCGAACGGCTCCATGGTGCCTCAACCCCTTTCCCTCTAAGTAATCTGCAGGAATGCGGGGTTTTCGCATACAAACATACAAACAAACAAGGGTGGAGCCCTGCCCGGCTTAAATTATTATTATTATTAAATTACTCTTCATCTGATTTCTGGTCCTCGATTTCTCGAGTCTCAGGACTCCACGGTGGAGTTCGGCCATAAGACTCGCCCACTCAAAGGAGATCTTGGGGTTCCTCCTTATGACCCTGATGGCCAGCACTCGCTGCAGTCGTCGTAGTAGTGGGACGTTGCTGGCCTTTAGGGCCTCCGCCCATAAAGATTTGGTTTTTGATAGTACAATCAGCAATCCATTTTTTAAATGACCTTCTGTTTTTTCGAAGTATTAATTATAATTTATATTAATATCTTTCAGCATACGAGTTGTGGTTCAAGCAGATAATCTTTGAAGTGGACTCTGTGAGATCGCTCCTCGACGTCGAAGGTTTAGATGAGAGTCACACCATGGAAATACTGAAGAGGCTCAACAGAATAGTCTTAATTTTAAAGGTAAGATTGAAAATAAAAACACTTAAAAATGTTACTGGCAGACACAAATAAATTAATACAACACAATAAAGAATAAATAAATATTATAGTATCAAAAAATATAATTTTGGAAGCGGGTTTGTTTGCATTAAAGTAATTTTTAATCTCATGGAAATAGTACCTACTTTGTAATCGACTAGATAAAATAGGATTTTTTTTAAATAGGACCGAACAGCTTGCGACCGGTACGAAGCGTATATTCCGATTTCAAAATTGTCAAATAAATAGAAAACTTCGTGTTATTAGTGTTAATTAAATATAACAGGGTAAGATAATATCTGAAGATTGTTGAAAAGGTAAGGTTTTATCATTTTATGTAAATATAGCATTAATTATGTACTGTTTATTGTACGGTAAAATTACGGCACAACATAATAAAATATTCTTTTTCTATTGTTTATTGTATTATTATTTCTTTCTATTCTTCAATCCTCATTTGTATTGGTTCAAATGAGGATTATAGAATATAGGATTTATAGGGTTAAAGCATATTGATGCACAATAGTATGTAGATTAAGTTTTTTAATTACCTTTTTTTTAATGGAACTAATCCCTCCCACTGTAACTCCTTAACACATTATTATTAAGCATTATATTACGTTCATTATACCAAAGACTACATTCCCAGAGGATATGATGAGCAGACTGCACAGTTAGAGTTAGGTGTTGAGCATTGACACAATGGTGACTCGACTAATTTAAATGAACACATTTTGTTCTTAAAGTTACCATGACCTGTAAGAAATTGAGCGACACAGTGATCTACCTCAAGCCATGTCCTCGACAACCGCTCACGAACAGATGGAAAGAATTGGTAAAGGTAGCGCCCCATAGACGATTCGTCCCAGCGTTGTTGCCATTCGTCTATGAGGTCATTATAGACATCGGACTGCTGTTGAAGCGACCTTGTAATTATATCGCGATCTCGTGCGCCCAAAAAATCGCATTCTGTGTTTTGTTGTCTTGAATAGTACATGGCTGCACGTCTCTGAACCTCGAGATCGACCGGAAGCACACCCGCCAACATCGGCAAGTCCTCAGTGCTAACCGTCCTATATGTCGTGCACAAGAATACTCAATACTCAATACTTTATTGCTGCCATAATGTAAATATATATAATATCAGTGCAAGTCGTTGGCCTTGTTACAGTTTGCGACGGACAGCGCCTACGGTTGCCCTATCGGCCCATACAGGTGCACCATAGCACTTAGAACCTAAATAAGTATCTCCCTATATGATCTTTAGTGTATTAAATGATAGACCCCATGTCGCAGTTAATATCCTTGTCAATACACAGAAACTCTTTTTAGACTTTTCATTAACTATTTTAATTTGTTCGATAAATGAAAAGTTTATTTCTAAAACTAATCCTAAATAACACACTGAGGTTTTATTTTTTGCAGTGACTTTGTCAAATTTAATGCTCATCGGTGATTTGAGGTCACCTTTTAAAAGTATCTGGAAGGTATTGTGGGGTGCAAAAGTTAAGCGATTACGTTATTCCAATGAGATATCAAGTTCAAACATCTATTGGCTAATCTCTCAAGCCCGAAAATCATCGAAGCCGATATTCCACAAGTTTGGACCTAGCACTGATCATGAGGACATCCCATTGTAATCCAATGTTATCATATACGAGGGCGGGTCAATAAGTCCGTGACTTTTTGAATTTCTGACCTCTTTACTTTATCTGTCAGTTGACTCCTGTCAAAATTTGAACTTGCTGCGTCAGTTAGTTTGTGTTTGACAGCTATCTTTATCAGACTACCCAGTAATTTGAGGAAAAAATGGAAAAAAGTGAATTTCGTGTGCTTATTAAGCATTATTTTTTGCTAAAAAAAACCATTACCGAGACCAAGGCTAAGCTTGATAAATACTATGGGGACTCTGCACCATCGATTTCAATGGTAAAAAAGTGGTTTACTGAATTTCGTTGTGACCGTACAAGCACTGAAGATGCCGAACGTCCTGGACGCCCAGTTGAGGTCACTTCACCCGAAACAATCGAAAAAATTCACGATATGGTGTTGGCCGGCCGAAGATTGAAAGTGCAAGAGATTGTGGAAGCCGTAAGGATCTCGAATGGCTCAGTGGTTTCAATTTTGAATGATCACTTGGGCATGAGAAAGCTTTCCGCAAGATGGGTGCCGCGATTGCTCACAGTCGACCACAAACGCAATCGTGTAACAACTTCACAGGAAGGTTTGGCGTTGTTTAATTTCAATATGGAGGAGTTTTTGCTCCGTTTTGTAACTGTGGACGAAACATGGATCCATCACAACACACCAGAGACCAAACAACAGTCAATACAGTGGGTTCCTAAGGGTGAATCGGCGCCAAAGAAGGCCAAGGTGGGTTTGTCAGCCAATAAAGTTATGGCGACTGTCTTTTGGGATGCACGCGGGATAATTCACATTGACTACCTTCAAAAGGGAAGAACAATCAATGGGGAATATTATGCCAACTTATTGGACCAATTCAATGACGATTTGAAAAAAAAACCGACCTCATTGGCCAAGAAAAAAAGTTCTTCTCCACCAAGACAATGCAAGGGTGCACACATGTGCAGTTGCCATGGCAAAAATCCATGAATTGGGCTATGAATTGCTCCCTCATCCGCCCTATTCTCCAGATTTGGCTCCGAGTGACTACTTCTTGTTCTCAAACCTGAAGAAATGGCTTGGTGGAAAAAGATTTGACTCCAATGATGAAGTCATCTCGCAAACAAAGGCCTATTTTGAGGACCTCGACAAATCATATTTTTTGGAAGGGATAAAAAAATTGGAGAAGCGTTGGACAAAGTGTATAGAGCTCAAGGGTCAATTTATTTTTCAACGTAGTCTACGTTGAAAAATAAAATGATTTATTTATCAAAAAATCTGTGTTTTATTCACCAAATTCTATATTCTATATTCTAATCTATATTCTAATTTTATTCCAAAAGTCACGGACTTATTGACCCGCCCTCGTATTATACAAATTTGTATTTTATAGATAGCCTGCTGATATGGATCCACGTCGGTTTTACGAAGGTATCCACGTAATAGTTATAGATTTTCCGAATGACAGTACTGACGAAGATCTTTCTGATGATGAATATGGGACGAACAGACTTCAACCACCTCTATATATACCAGAATCTGATGAATCTGACTTAGAATCTGACAATAATATACCTTTATCTCAGATGGCGTCTTCTTCAACGAGGGTTTCGAGGGCCGAAAAGCCTCGATGGAGAAACGGATTTTTAGAAAGGGTAGACACTGAATTGCAGTTTATGGGAGATTTGACTTTGCTAGTAGATATTACGGCTTTATAAACACCTTTTCAGTTTTTTTTAATATCTGTTTTCGAATTATATAATTTTATATATGTCAGGAAAGTAATAAATATGCCGTCGAAACTACCTACGAAACTCACCAATATTACGGTGAAAGAACTGTAACAGTTTGTTGGCATATGTCTTTACATGTCAATCATACAGTTACCTTCAACAAGATATTATTGGAGCAAGAATTTAGGACGTCCGAAAGTGAGTACTGCAATGTCCTGTAGTTGCTATAAAGAAATTAAAAATTAAGTTTAACGATAACTCCACGCAAATCCCAAAGTTCAGATAGGACACAATCCTCTTTCTAAAATTCAACCATTTTTGGATCAGATAAGAGGCAGACTGTTGACAGTTCCTAAAAAAGAGTCTATGGCTGTGGACGAACAAATAATTGCGACTAAGAGCAGATCCTCTATGTGACAGTACAACCCTAAGAAACCTCACAAGTGGGGTTACAAGAATTTGTACTTAGCGGCAGCTCCGGATTCAGTTACGACTTTGAAATTTATACTGCAGTAACTACAGGCCATTTTTTGATAACTGGTATACGTCACTGCCACTTTCACCCTACCTAAGTAAGAAAACTATTTTGCCGTTAACGTTAAGTTTCTTAACTAACCACTATGGACAACACAGACGTTTCTGTTGTTACTTGGTATGACAATAGAGTTGTGAAATTCGCCTCAACCTATGCTGGTAGAAAACCAATATCTGAAGTAAGACGTTTCAATAAAAAAGAAAAAATTGATCAAAACGTGTCATGACACGTTGGACGTAGGACATGTCCTAAAGCAATGATGGTTTATAACATACATATGGGGGAGTAGACCTGCTAGACGCTCTTCTTGACTACTACAGGATACAGATTAGGTCTAAAAATTTTACCATCGCATATTTATTTATATGATCGATATGGTAACAGTTAACGCGTGGTTGCTGTACAGACGAGTGTTGAACGATTCAGAATATTAATTACCATTAGCAGATTTTAAGAGTTGCAGTAGCCGAAGCCCAAACCGACAAGTGGCAAACGTAGACAGCCTTCTTATGATCTAGAATAACCGTTGAAGCGAAAAAATTGTGAGGACCTGTTGCTATCATGTCATCTATGGATGTGCGGCTAGATCAAATAGATCATCTACCTATCTGGACCACTAGACAACGGTGTAAGATACCAGAGTGTACTGGTAGATCACATGTTGAGTGCCATAAATGTAGAGTAGGCTTATGTTTCAGCGACAAAAGAAATTGTTTTATGTTGTTCTACACAACTTAATGATTTTACTGTTACATCTTACTAAATGATTGAATATTTTATGCTCACTGTGCCAAATATGTACCAAAAAGGAAAAGTGGTTATATTTTTTTTAAATTCAATTAAGCTGAAAATGCTGAAATGTGTCTTTTTATTTGTTGTTTTCTATCACATTTTTTTTATGAAGAAATAAAAAATCATGCAGTAAGGGGTTAAAATTTGAAGAAAAACTATCAACCTCTAAGGGTAAAAAAATTAGGAATACAGTTTACAAGAATTCATTATCATATAGGCATATAGTAGTCGGAGAAAGTTTTTTAAAAGTATGTTCTACTAGCTTATGCTAGCGGTTCCGCCCGCCTGTATGTAGCCTATGTTACTCACTGATAATCTTCCATTGTTGCTTTCCATTGATGAAACAATTTTTAAACCGGTTAAGTGGTTTAGGCGTGAAAGCGTAACAAACCCACAAAATCACTTTCACATTTATAATATTGCATTCGTCGTATTTGTATTCGTTACAATGACCTTTAAATGGATGTTAGAATTGTTATTAAACAAGGCTTTAAAAATTATTACTAACTGAATAAGTAATACATAGTGATTATTATTAATAAGCTGTATTCTCTATCCAGTAAATGCATCCATCCATGGGAGCGAAACAGAAAAATGTGTAACAAGACTTTTTCCGACACTTCTTCCGGAACTTTCTTTCCGACTCCCCTCACTCCGTTATTGGGATGAAGTTCCTTATCGTGCGTTAAGGTGAAGTTCATCTCCCACCCCTAAAAGCACGCAGCGCCCCACGTCACACCCCAACCCTGGTCCTGCCTCTGTTAAAGTCCCAGATGGCCTCAACTGTCGCCCACAGGTTCGCTCTTATTGAGGCCACCCTAGAGTTAGGATATTTAATATTTTGTTGAAATTAAAACCTTAACCTTAATTAGAACTACATTTTTTTTAAAGTTCAAACAAATACGTATCTAATAACTATAGAGTGAAAGAATATTCAGTCGACTTAAAGCCTCGTTTTTCTAGTCTATTAATTGTTGTAAACCTGTAGAATGATATAAAATACAAGTAAATGACATTATCTTGATGTATGAAAAACAAGTATGTAATAAGGTTTATTCATCATTTAACAATTTTTCATTGGACAATATTCTAAAAACATAATTTTACATCAAATTATTTTAGTGTGAAAACAACTCCGAATGTTAGATATGATCTCTGAAAAAATAATTAACATTTAAAAAAGTATAGTGACTTCAGTGCGCCTACATCAAGATGAATTGTCATTAACTGTATTCTTTATTCTTTAATTTTCTACCTTCAGGGGTTGGTATTTTTCTTCAAATTTGAATGGAACCAAACGAGATTTATACCCACCCAAATAAAGAAATGATATTCCAAATCGGTCCAAAAATCACGTTGTTTTGATGCCAAACATGAAAAGACAATGCAATCAAATTAAGAACCTCTTCCTTTTAAAAAAAAATACACTAAAATACAATTTGGGTCAGACCTATATATCCAAAACAGTATGTGGATACATACCGGTATAGACCGATCACGGGTCAAATGAACTTTAGTGTCACGGTCTCACTATCTCACATTATAACGTGCCGATATTTATGAAAATATATAAACATTCACTTACCGAGTGACGTGACCAAGTCTGATTACGTTGTTTATACATTATGAAATTTGCATATACGTTGCCAGGGATACAGAGAACGATAACGGATAGATAAAGATAAGAGATAAGAATAAAAATTATTGGTCAAATTAACACAGATGTGTTAAATAATTAACATAAATAAATTAACCAACACATTTAAAAAGGAAAATTCAAAAAATTAACATGTGTTTTTGACAAATTTTTTGAAGGCTTCGTTGTACGCAAAGACACCTGATTGCATAGGGAATACGAAGATTACAATCTATCTCATGCTTCGCATTCGCTCTCTAAATCCTATTTATGAAAATGTTTGTATCTTTTTACTATCGCTTATTTGTTTCAATGAATTTTCTAATCACAACAGTGCTAAACAAATTCACTTCAATAAAAATAACCTCACACATCTCACACACGGTCGTCTGATCACAAACTAGGCAGAGCCTATACTATGGTTACAAGACTGCTGATAGACATAGTTATATATTTCTGAATTTCATACATATAATGGATGAATTACACCCAAATACAGAACAAATATTAAAAATTGTGCACATCACACAACCATTTGTCCTGGATGGGAATCGACCCCACGAACTCTGGCTTAGCAGTCACTAGACCAATAGGCCCGTCATAGTCAAGTAATGTTTAATATATACCGTTACTGTGTAACATATCACGCCTAGAAATAAGGCTGCTTGGAGAATTTGATACAAAGTCATTGGTCTACGAGTATTAACCACATGACAATTTGCGGTCATAAATTATCACTTGTATAGTATTACATGTTTTCTTTACCACTTTCCTCAATCACTTTCAGAGTTTCACTTCATTTATATCTAACATGTTGACCTAATGAACGACAACCAGTTGTTCTTTGTTATCTTCCCTGCAAATATTATAGGAAAGAAACCGCAATGGAAATAAGGCAATTATGTTTTGCAAAAGCTATTTGAACAAAATTAACCAAAAGTCTTCATTTAATTTTTAATTTCAAATATTTTTTTTTAATTTCAAATAGTATTTCAAAGCATGTTTGCAGCGGTATTAGTTTCTGACTACTTTTAATTTCCAGTTTTAGTTTAGTACGACTGCACGGATGACGGGGTGATTTAAGCGGTCACCTCGCCGCTTCCCACAGCCCTGAGTATTCTGATTTCGATCCCCACATGTGGATAACACTTTGCGTGATCCATAAATTGTTGTTCTGAGTAATTCCCAGCGACACAGAAAGTTACATTTATAATGATTAAGAACAACAGTTCTGTGAGAACAAAGTAAAACTGTCAAAAATTTAATTTTATCAGGAAGGCGACTGTGTCGTAGCAACAGACTGAAACTGTGGATCTTTGGACGAAAATAGTAGACAGTCTGAGACAAACCTTGTCAAGTTCAATCGTAACCTTAACAACTAAGAAATAGGGTCGTTCGCTTTTAATGGTATAACGCCAAAAGCCTCTGTTAAGAACTCAAAAACCATGAACAAAGATAGCCAGGGCCGGTTGTAAGACAAAGTGTACCGTATAGACAAAGCTGTCTGGCATGCATGTGGTGTTTTAGTCAATTTTATTTCCAAGTATTTGTTTCATCTCGCATAAACATCGCAAAAAATAACTTCATTACTTTTTTTTCAATTGTTAAAGGAAATTGTAATACTCGTAATTCTGAGTTAATATATTGATAATATAGTTTTAGTTTATATAGTTTTATCATTATTTAATTTTCTTCCGGGTATTCTGCTTAGCAACTTTATAGAATCCCCTAATGTAATATATTACGTTTAAACCGTGGAAGCCGGCTTAATAGGAGTGACATCACGTCTTCACAGAAAGCAACGAACTTCTAATTCCACACCGCATATTTTTGCATTCATATAGTTCTGTAGTTGGATGACCATACCTTTGCCTGCTCTTTTTATAGGTGTCGGTAACCTCTTTGGGTCAGACGAAGTTTGGAAACACTATTCACTTTCTAAGTTCTTTTTACTTCCAGCTGTTGGTGGACCAGGTGATGATTTTAGAGACTATGACTCCGCTTGACTTCATGGACTTCCGTAATTATCTGCGGCCTGCCTCCGGCTTTCAAAGCTTGCAGTTTCGTCTCCTTGAAAATAAGGTATAGTTTCAAACATTAACTTTTCAATATTTTCCTACAACAGAAGAACAGAAGTTGTACTGAAAAAGCGAGTACATTTTCTCGGAAAAGGATTTATTAGGACATCGACAATATCTATGAACACTGTGTCTAACTTATCTAACGATATTTTGTATATTACTTATCGCCAAGTAGCCTCTTTAAGACTTCATAAATATCTATATTATCCTATATATCTACAATAAGTATACGACTGTCAATAGGATCAAAACAACACTGACCCCTTATGTGCAAGTATAATAATAATGTATTATATATTTATATCGTAAAAAGGGCACGTTAAATAGGGGAGAGTGGTATACAGTGGATCATGGGGTACAGTAGTTCATTGGCATTTTTATAGCTTCGAATGTACTATGTGCGGGTGGATGAACACACATTAAGAAGCTCCGCTTACATACCACCTTCAGCCAAATCAATTGTCGCCACTCAATTGTTACGGGTTGGTGTACTGTGATGTTTTTTTTTAATTTCTTTTAATATTTTGTAGTTAAATAAGTATCTTTGGGTTGTTGTTTAACTTCTTAGAATCAAATGTAAATTTTATTCATTTTTCATTGTAAATGGTACAAAATTCGACAGGGGTTGATTTCTTCTTAAACATAAAAATGACAATTTATGCTTTTTATAACTAAGAGAACTAAAAAGTAATAAGATACAGTAAAATATTTTCAATATTTACATTATTTACATTCAACCATCAAAAAATTCCTTCGCATCATCGCCTACTGGTAGCGTCCCCAGAAAGTTGTCAGCATTATGTTCAATAATTGTGGAACAATTATTAACTATTAATGATGTAGAAATATTATAAATTAAAAAGAAGGTAGTTAAATTCACCACATAATAATTTTCCAAATGATTTTTAATTTGGAAAATTCATAAATGAGATCCGTACACATAATAGTTTCAATAACTTGCTCTAGAATAACAAGTCAATAAATTTGGTATTCGCATTGATTAGATTTAGGTAATTGAGAAATAATAGCTTTTGACTGTGCAAATGCTAATGCTAGGTTTATATCTTGTATACTCTGTTAACGGCCCCCCATTAACAGAGTAACCAGGTCCCAACCTGTATTTTTACGCTTTCCTTCGATCTCGAAGACTCGAGAAGTTGACCAATTCTTACTAGGCCAACATCAAGAAGTATTGAACTATGTAGTATACGTAAACTATGACCACGTTGATCATCACAAGGATGTTGAAAGTAGGTAGCCTCAAGACCTTCCCCATGATTAAATAAGGTAATATTTCCATTTCCTTCCATCTTCTTAAATCTTATACCACTTCCTTTAGCTCGGTTTGAAGCAAGCTCTACGTGTCAAATACAATCAGTGTTACCAGTCTGTGTTCGGAGATGATCCTGAAGCCATGGAAGAGTTACAGAAGTAAGTAATTTTATATTACGAAAACGTGACAAAATAATAATAATAATAACCTTACATATCTCACACACGAACGTCTGTTCACAAGCTAGGTAGAGCCTGAGCTATGGTAACCAGACTTTTTTTTTAAAGACAACTCCTACAATAGGAATAAATCCTGTGTCGCAGGGGACTTAACATAAAACGGACACAAAGGACACCCAGACTCAGAACAACAATTTGTGGATCACAAAAAGTGTCGTCTCATGTGGAGATCGAACCTACAACACGCAGCGCAGTATGAAGCGGCGAGGAGACCGCTTAAACCATTACGCCATCCTTGCAGACTGCTAATAAAAAAAAAATTATGGAAGAAGGGGCAAACGAGCAGACGGGTCACCTAATGGCAAGTGGCTACCGCCACCCATAAACGCCTGCAACTCAGGAGCCACAAGCGCGTTTCTGGACTTTTAGGATGGAGTACGCTCTGTTCTTGAAGGTTGAAGGTCGTATCGGTTCGGAAATACAGCAGTTGATAACTTGTTGCACAGATTTTGTGCGAGACATAAAGAGTATTGAAAAACGCACAGCGGTGGAGTGCCAATTAATCAAGTGATGGAGATGAAAATTACATACATACCTATATATTTCTAAATACTATAGATAACTTAGATCCAAACACAAAGCAAATGATCTTGCTTATCATACAATTATTTGTACTGTGCGGGAATTGAACCCACGACCTCTGGCTTAACAGTCAGAGTCACTAACCATTAGGTCAACAGGCCCGTCAAGAAAAAACCTACAATCGCGGCGGGATTTGTATATCCGATATATCTAAGCCTGCCTGAATCGTTCTACCTATTTATTTATTGTGGGATTAAAGTGCCCGTGCTATATCTACCAAACAGTGCGTGAAAGCAGTGTGGGTCATGTGAATCTATCACCACATAAGGCGTGACCTACACTCGTCCACATCGTCAGACTTCTCAGATATCTGTAATTAATGCAGTGTAACAATCACAATGTGGAACACACAAACACATTCGTTAAATGACATCTTATAAGAGCGAAAGTAATTCTCACCTGTGGAAATCAGACACCAAGTTTTTTTCATTTATTTATTTTATTTTCTCATACATTGATATATAACACTACATGAAACTACGCCACTAAGTAATGAAAAATATCTTACTTTTTGTCGTAATTTACAAAAGATTTACAATTTTCAAACATACTTTGTGATCGCGTAGGTGTGTGTGATATGTGCGCATGTGTGCACTTAACGGTAGTTCTCAAAGTAATTATTTATTTGACACGTCTTGAATTAATAATAAAGTTGTGATTTCGTTAACATTATGACAGCCACAATAAAACTTGGAGAGTCGTGCCACACATTCGCCTGTAATTCTTATGAGATTCTGGAAATACATACGTACACTATTCCAAAATAATCAACGGTGGAAATTCACTAACTCCCTTTTTACTGAACTCTAGATCTGAACAAGAGCCAGCACTTCTAGCACTGATAGAGCGATGGTTAGAGCGAACACCAGGGCTCGATACACACGGATTCAATTTCTGGGGCAAGTTCCAGGCCACGGTCAACAAGATGATTAAAGACGACATGGAAGCTGCTTCGGTAAGAGTTTTTATGGTAAAGAAGGCAAACGAGCTGACGGGTCACCTCGGGGAGTTGATGGTACCGCCCCTCATGGACACCTACAAAAAAGAGCACCTTCAAACCTTCCAGAAAAGAGCGTACGCCTTCCTAAAAGGCCGGCAACGCGCTTGTGACTCCTGAGTTGTAGGCGTTCCTGGCCGGCGGTAGTCACTTTCCATCAGATGACCCGTCTGCCCCGTCTTCCATGAGAAAAAAGTCAGTAATGTCTCCCCCTCCCCCCTCCCTCTTCCCAGAGTTATGTGGAAGGGGGTGTGTTCTCCTGTAACCTAAGTCACTCAGTAAAGCGGCACGGGCACATTTGTGTTGCTCTCCTATGGTTAAAATCTTATTATTTGACTCGTATCGAAATTTGTTTGCACTCTATCCCCTGGTAAATTCTAGTCAATTAATATTCAATTCTAACTGATATTCCTATAAGATGTATTATGTAAAATTTCAAATATATTTTCTTACCGTTAGCTGGAACCAAATGAGAAAGTCCGTCTTCACCGTCTGCACGATGCGGAAAATCGTCGCGAGATCTACCGCTCCATTTTCGACCCCGCCGTTCATGATGCACTTCGATCCAGGGGGGAAAGACGGTAAACTGATAAACATGATGATTAGTCAATTTAATTTTAATAAAATTCAATAAAGATTAATTAAAATACCGTTTCCTGTACTTCAAGTACAGGAAAAGATCTCAAACAATTTATATTTTCAAATGACGTCTTTATGTTATAGTTTATGTTTTTTCTTTGGTCGAACCAGTACATGGCTACGGGTTACAGGATCGCCTGTTTTAAATGTAGAAAATTTACATAAAATATCATAATGAAAACTTTAGTAATTTCACCCCCTTTAGCCATTTACTATAAAGTTTCAATGACGAGTAGGTAACGAATGAATGAAGAAGATAAATGTTTCCAGGTTGTCTCACAAGGCTTTGCAAGGAGCCATCATGATCACTTTCTACCGAGACGAGCCGCGCTTCTCGCAGCCGCACCAGCTGTTAACCCTCCTCATGGATATAGATTCTCTTATCACTAAGTGGCGATGTAAGTACCATTAAGATTGAAAAAATTGTTTTCAATATTATTAAACCGTATTCACTTTAATCTTCATAATGTCTATTTTTTTTATTCATCCAAATGTTGCCTGGAAGAGTCAAAGAAAGGAAACGGTGAGCAAACAAGGTTGCCCTTTGTAAATTATGTCTATTGACATAATTATGTAGTTATAATACTTTCAGAACAAAAACGGTTTGCAAATAAAATATTATCTATCTGTCTGTTCATTAAATACGTGCAATCGTATTTAAACTTATTGTAATCATTTTATGCAATGTAGAAATATTCAATTTCACAGTTACCTCAGAAATCAATTAAATAGCAAGTCCTTACTTTAAGATTAATTTACAGTGTATTACAATTTCATAACATTATGTTGATTACCATAATGAAATACATCAAATTTATTACTCTTGTCCGGAGACATATTATATAGTTATATAGTATTGACAGTTATATATTATATAAAATTATATAGTTGCTTAACTTATGGGAGGAAGTCTAGCACGAATTGTACGTCCAGTGGACCAATAACCTAATGACTGCCGACTTAAGGTCTTCTAATGCTAAACATATATCATTAGAAGACGTTAAGTTAATAAAATGTTCTGAAGAATAGTTTCCAGTTATATCCACGATTACTTTCCACTATGTTTTGTTATGCAATGCCGTACTATGCCATAGTAAAGTTTGTTTAAGAAATATCAGCAAATATATATGCAAAAGTCTAGCCCTCCCGCAATTATTGTTATGAACCTAATCAAACCAATATAGGTAGCTACTTATTCTAGATCAGCTTAAGATAAATCGTACATAAATACCGCAAACAAATACCTTGTGAGTAGAACAATTTGAACTAATAACGCAAAGCAGTTCTGAAACCCAAAATTATTTGCTAATGTACCTACTAGTGAAAAATTGAGTTATTTACAATTAACATACATGTAAACATATAATAGTAAAAAAATATACATATGTAAAACTAACCAGGTGGTAGGCAGGATGTACATTTGTACATAATTGTTATTAAATCCTCTTGTATAATTTTAGACAATCACGTAATCATGGTGCAGCGTATGATAGGCTCGCAGCAGCTTGGTACTGGTGGGTCTTCGGGCTACCAGTACCTTCGGTCTACCCTCAGGTGAGAACGATACACTTTTAAACAAAAAATGAGAAGTCTACCAATTCGAATCAATATATTCTTTTGTGTGTATGAAATATGATAATAATGAAATAGATTTTTGAAAATCAATACCTTTTTTTTATTTGAATTGGTTGTGCTCAAAGGTGGTTTAATTTAGTTTACAAAGAATTGGTTTTAGGGCATTAAAATTGGTATTCCGTGTGGTGACGGATTTAGAATACGGAGTGTTACCACCCCTAATCGCCCCATAAGAGTTGTAAGAGCCGCGTAAGGGAGCGAACTATGCAAGACAACAACACTGCAAAAGAAAAGGAAAACTTGAAATAAACCCTACGCCAACACGTCTGGCCAGCGTGGTATAATACGCCAAACCTGTTTTCTAAGAAGAGGCGTGTGTCCAGTGTGGAATACTAAAGGTTGTTGAATTGATGATCATGAATACGGACTGCTATGAAATTTTATTATGATCTAAAGCAGTACGATTTTAAAATAAATTTTAGCTGGATTTGTCACTTTTGGATTTGTCGCCGGTGATGATACAATGATTTAACGGATAGACATTTATTGTAAAAAATCATAATATAAATAATAACTCTAAAGAGTGATTAATTGGAAGTGAAGAAGTTCGTTTATTATACTTCTAATTCCGCCAATTTTCTTCTAATTAATTTCGTTGTGGGTTACAAGACAGTTTTTTGTTTCTGGGACTACACGATTGTCATAACTGTGGGTCAAAACTGTTGATCCTGGTGTACAGGAGTTACAGCGGTGGGCGTGTGGGAAGGATCAGTCCCATTAAAAAAAACTTTAGAGTATCCTATTTTTTGTACTGTGTATTATTATGGAATATTACGAAAAATCGATGTTCATAAAACATAACTACTTTAACTTCATCAACAGCCTTTGATAGTCCACTGCTGGACATAGGCCTCTCCTTAAAAAGGAGGTTTTGGCCTACTATACCACGCTAGCCAGACGGATTGGTATAGGGTTTGTAGTTTTCCTTCTCTTTGCAGTGCTGTTGTGCTGCGTAGTAGTTTTACTTTAACGTTCCTACTTATAATTTATGCAAAAGAACTAAGGATTATATGGAGAATATCATTTTGGCATTTAAGTCAATAAAATTCATAAAGACAAGCATGGAATACTGACTATGAATTTATTTTGTTTCAGTGACCGTTACAAAGTGTTCCTGGACCTCTTCAATCTATCTACATTCCTGCTTCCCCGTTCTCTAATACCTCCACTGGATGAAGGTATGAAGAAAAGCCTCAATTTAGCTTGGGGTGAAAAGAAAGAAGGTGGTGAAGCCGATCAGAATAGTACAAACGGCCGTAACGAACTAGAAGTGTCTTTATAGGAGTCAAAGAAAACTATATAATATTTTAAGGTTTTAAATGTCCAGTGTTATTTGTTATATAAAATATATTTGAGAATCGAATCTCTTTAATTTTATCAACACAATGTAGGTAATTTATAGCAGTTTTGTTTAAGATAAAATATACTTAAGTGCTACACTTATTATTTGTTTTTATAACCTATTGATTTTTTTTTAATAATCAATATATGTTTACTTAAAGTAATAGTATTATTATTTCCGAATGACATATTCAGTTTTTATTACATTTCAGATTTAGGTATATTTAGAGTTTTTTTGTTATAGGTCAGGTTTATACATACATATATAGGTAGGGTAGGTATTCTTTTGACCTTATACTCCATAGCTGTACGGATGGCGTAGTGGTTTAAGCGGTCGCCACGCCGCTCACTACTACGCTGAGTGCTGTGGGTCCGATCCCCACATGGGACGACACTTTATGTGATTCACAAATTGTTGTTCTGAGTCTGGGTGTTATTTGTGGCCGTTTCATGTATGTTTGTAAAGTCCCCACAGGACACAGGATTTATTCCTAGTGAAGAAGTTGTCTTTTAAATTAATAAAAAATGTCTGTTTAAATCTAAGAAGCTGTTTTAAATGGTTTGGTTACTATATCTGTGACAACATTACCGCCGGATAACAGTCAGTGGAATATGATGAAGGTCAAACTAAATGGGATCTTAAAGTATTTGAAATAAGTAGGTGAAATGCTTAAAGTAAAATAAGCAAATTATTTATTGAGACATTTGATTACATTTATTTGGTACTTTATTAAAAATATAGTTGTAGCCATGATTACTATTGATCAGTATCTATTAATTTTCAGTTATTGTTACTTTTACACCTTTAAGCCGAAGCAACTACGGGCTCGACAGTACCTTTGTCTGAAAACTTATACATCACTCTATGCCTATAAATCTGCCCCGGGACTAAAATGGCGCTGGGGAAGTTCTTGTGATGGACTGCATCAGGATACTTCTGGGTCTCAAGACAAAACGCTCCATGCCTTCTGTAGCCAACGGAGTCTTTTCCCACCAAAGCTTCTTCGCTAGGTAGTGGGAGAAAATTCGCTGTGTAGAACTGAACCCCAGGCTGGTCACTGTACACTTCTAACACGCGGCCCGACAATGAGTGGGTGACGCGTGATACAAGTGTCAAATCCTGCAATACAAGGAACATTACTATAGGTTTGCGGGTGAACTATCTACATTACCTACATCAAACTTAAGTTTTCACTATAGAGTACTTACCAACTTTTGATGCTTACTAGCTGGTAATATTCTGACATACAATATCTCGATCATCATTAAACTAAACTTTTAATCTAGGAAATTACCTAAATATTATTTTTTTGTTTACTTTTATTGATGATCTTTACAAAGAAATTAGTATAAATACTTCCAAAAGCAAATTATGTGGTGACGGATTAAGAATACGGAGTGTCACCACCCCTATTTATACCGTGGGCAGAGGAGGATTAAATACCAAAACCGCCTTAGGCAATCATCTCATCGGCGCCTCCCGCACGTCTCTATCGCGCATCCTACATTATTAATAGCTAATAGTTGACATTTCTTTACTTTTTTTATTTGTTTTCGTTTATTTTGTGCCAGTATGTGCATACTTACTGATGCAGTTCTTTTTATGTTAGGCATATATTTGTTCCTTGTAAGAATATTCTGCACGCGCGCCCCTATGCACGTGCTTACTTAAAGGGATAAACCGCGACTGCCCATGAGTGTCGTAAGAGCCGACTAAGAGATCAAACTACGCAGGACAACAGCACTGCAATGAGAATGGAAACTTGAAACAAACCCTATACTACTCGTAACATTTCTGGCCAGTATAGTATCGTATAGTCGGCCAAAACCTCCTTTCTAAGGCCTATAGCCAGCATTGGATTATTAACGGCAGCTGATGATGATTGAGGAGCATGTAAAGCCTGGCCAAAGTGGAGATTTAAACTAAAAGTAGAGTTTATAATTAATTACTTCGAGAATTAACGCGCTAAATGCCAGTGTAACCTGGTCGAAACGTTAGGCAGTTCCAAAGTATGTAAAATTTATTACTCGTTAATACCCGAAGTACCTTCTTAATGAATATTGTGAAACCGTAACATTCAAAGGTAGCAAAGGCAGTTTTCATCAATGTTTGTTACCTCTTTCCCAAGATTAACGCAGAAGTTGTCATCGAACAAGTTGCCAGACATGGAGTCTCCTAATCGTTTCTCCTTCGTAAAGTCAAACGGAGTGCCTTGTACGTTTATGAAGTTGCCCGTAGGTATCGAGTCGGAGTTAGTTTCCGTGATTCTGGAAAAAAGAAGCTTTGTAAAAAATATTGACTAGTATGAAAAGAAAATGATGAAATTTCGAGTTAAGTAGGCGTGATATTGCAATTTTAAATGAATATTTCAAATTATTCACTAAGGGAGTTTTGATATTGAAATATCATGGTCATCCCAATACCTTAGGTACTCACCTCCCCTAGTAGATTATGATCAAGCGGTAAATGAAAGCTTGGCTAGATCACTACTGACATTTCTGGGCAGTACCCAACCAGTTCGGGCTCTTCAACAAGTAAAAGTGAACCAAAGACAAAATAGAATTGTTAGTGATCCTAAAGTCATGTGCAGGAATAAGAAAAAAAGTAATCGCCTTTCTTTAGATGGCACATATCTTTAAATGCCTTCTTGATAGTTTAATAAAAGATTACGGATGGGAGTGATTTACACATTACATTCCGTTCTCAGACTATTAGATATAGCAGGTGACAGTGAGGAATAACTTACCTATCAGCATTAATATAGACGAGATGGTTATACAATTCCTCAGATCCTGCGTCGTGTCCAGCCAAGTTGAAATAGGAATGGTTTGTCAAATTGACCACTGTCTTCTTAGTAGTCGTTGCGATGAACTCGACGTGAAAGCATCCGTCATCAGTCACTTCGTAGGTTATATTCGTGAGCAAGTCTCCTGGGTAGCCTTCTTCGCTATCCTTGGATAAGTAGCTGAAGATCACCTTGCTTTGATCTACGGTACTTTCCCAGACCATCTGAAACAGAAGGAGCCGAAGCTGGTTGTGACTAGATTCTAAGTATATGACAATTACGAGGTGAAATAAAATTATGAATAGGTACATAATAAGATTTTTTTTTGGTAGAGGGGCAGACGTGCAGACGGGTTACCATCGCCGCTCATGAACGTCTGCAAGTCAGGAGTCAAACGCGTTGCCGGCCTTTTAGGACGCCTTTGATGCGTACTCTCTTTTCTTGGTTCTGAAGGTGCTAAAAATGCTGCAGAATCTAACAAATGTATTTAAATACGTAGTCGCTAATAAATAAATTTGCCACTAGCTTCTTACTCACACTAAATCAGACACAGGTGTGATGATATGATTTATAAATCATGTTTTATCACATGTGATTTTGATATTATTCCATCCCTAGTGGCTGTGGTACTTCGGCATCATCATCAACAGCCTTCAATAGTCCACAGCTGGACATAAGCCTCTCCTTAGAGAGGCGGTTTTGGCCTACTGCACCACGCTGGCCAGACGGGTTGGTATAGGGTTTGTGTCAAGTTTTCCTTCTCTCTGCAGTGCTGTTGTTCTGCGTAGTTTTCTCCGTTAGTCGGCTCTTACGACACCCACGGGGTGAATAGGGGTTGTGAAACTCTGTATTCTTAACCCGTCACCACACGGACGTACTTCGGTATAGCCGGCTCATTTGTGCCAAACCGTGCTCTCTCACGATAAATTTCCATCAATCAGTATTCTTTCTTTTTCAATATCAGTAAAACTATTAAGTTCAAGAACTTACTTTATCAAAACCAACAAGGCCTCCGTGTAAATGATGTTCTTTAGCAACATTTTTGGCAAGTCCATAAGTATTTCCATCTATCTCAAAAGACGCATGACCAATACGGTTAGCGCATCTTCCGACTGCGACTCCGAGGTATGGAGTGTTCCTGGAAACGTAGCTGTCCAAATCGTCGAAGCCTAAAACCACGTCTTTTCGAATACCGTATCTGTCGGGAACCTGTACAAATTATAATGCTGGTAATGTACAAGTGCATATATATTGTAGATTAATAATAAACCAATTAAACACCAAGTGTACACCATACACCTTTTCGAATTGTGTGGTCCAAATTCGTTGGTGACCTGATATAGGTATTGTACGTACAAGATTTGGATGATATAATGCATCACTAAAATACTGAGCAACAGGAGCGCTCCTAATCTTTTAATATACGTTACGGAATAAAGATCAATAAAAATATCTGTTTCAAATCATAAATATTATTTATCTTTGATGAAGAAAATAAAACGATCAGAGCTGTTAAAAAGGTAGGTCTCGACAGATATCATCATTATAGCAATCTGGCAATGAACAGAGGGAATAAAAGCTGGTAATTGGCAAGTAATGTCTAAAACAACGCCCAATTCACAAGAAAAAATTAAATACTTTAGCCTTTATATATAAAAAGGGAATCTATTAAATTAAAATTATTAAACACAGGTCTTCCAATAAGTCTACGTCGGCATAGAAAAACAGAAAAAGTGGGTATTAAGGTCCAATCCTATATTCTTCTGTAGACACGGCCCAAAAAACTTTAGACTATAGGAATAGTTTTATTAGATAATAGTTAGTTATACTTACTTTTATAGCTTGAACAATAGCTCCGTAAGATATTGCAGACAATGAAAATCCATTAGCTAAGGTCCACGTGAACTTTTTGACCTTCTTCTCTTGGTGAACACCAAAATCTTCTACGATTAACTTCACCATTTCTGTAATCTATAAAACATCACCTACGGATATCTATATACTTTGATACCTTTTTCGGAATTTCCATAAGAAATGTATATTGTAAGCTTATATTGTAACCTTTTGAAATAGGTAAATTAAACCTCTACCACAATTCTGCACACAAGGATGAAAATGGGGAAAAATGTGTTAATTTTTATAGCTCGGCTGATGAAACATCATCTGTCTTTTTGTACATTCAGATTACCTAAATTAGTTTGAGATTTAGCATGCCGATCTGCAAGTAGGTACCTACATAATATGTAGTGTTGCCGCTGTTTGCATTTTCAATATTTTACATATATTATGATGTTTTTTTACTGGTCTATTTTTTTCTATACCAATTAAAAGTAAATGCTCAATGTTACAACTTTTGGGTAAATTATTATTATTAACCAAAATTCACCATGAAATTTGAAGTATAAACCAAGGGGTCGCATCTAATAACTAATTTAATAAAAATAGATACCGGAGTATTGGTTAGATGGCCATCCTGTTATATAACGCCTGTAAAACTGAATTAGCATAATAATGTTTATTATATTATTGCTAATCTCATCCTTGAATGTTTATGTCAGCTATGAATGATAATAAACATAGCAATGAGGTAAAATCTACAAAAAATATTGAGAAATTAATTATTCTCTTCATTCTTCTACAACAGATGATAAACAAGTAAAAAATATAAAGTTCACCTATCTTGCCAGTAACTTAAGACTTAAAAATAATGACGCCGGTAAATATTTGGTTAAGTACCATATTATATTAAAACATGAAATTGCTTATCATTGAATTCAAAACACATAGATATGGGCACTCAAAGAATACGTAACCCACAAAATGTTTATCTAATAAACAATAAAAGATCATTAAACTTCAACGTTTCCAATTATTATAACTTATAACATGAAATAAATTACGTAAAATTTATTGAATGCTGAACAATTACTTTACTAAGAACTTGATAACATTACAACATAGATAAAATCATAAACTTTATAAATAAAATACGCACCAATTGATAAGGCGTAGGTACGTCCACACTACACGAGGTGGGTATCACAACTACCTACACGACGAATATAGAGTCGCAAATGTTGTGTAAATATTGAGTCTGGGTACTATTGTTTATGTATTTATAAAACTTTGTTTTATCTACAGTTTCATTATGTCTTTTGGTCGCAGTTATATTGACCGCAGGGAACATTTCTACGTATTAACGTATTGTAAAGCCGAAATGGTAGTTTGTTGGGCAGATCTGAAACATGTTCCCTGAGGAAAGACAACGGACTTCCTTCAGCTGCAACTGGCAGACGAAAAGTTCTTGAAATCTTTGGCCAGGTCAAACTGACACACGAAATAATCAACCTCTTGGGGCAGACTTTACGATGTTTCGTACACTAAATCTAAAACTTTCTAATTTCTAAATTTAAATAAAAAAAAAACTATCTAAAATCTATTTTTTTTATTAACAGCGGTTTTTATTAACCGTGTGGTGACGGATTAAGAATACAAATTGTCACTACCCCAATTCATCCCGTGGGTGTCGTAAGAGCCGACTAAGGGAGCAAACTAAGCAGGACAACAGCACTGCAAAGAGAAGGAAAACTTGAAACAAACCCTATACCAACCCGTCTGGCCAGCGTGGTATAGTAGGCCAAAACCTCCTTTCTAAGGAGAGGCCTATGTCCAGCAGTGGACTAGTATAGGCTGTTGATGATGATTGATGAGTTTGAAATTTTAGCCCTACAGGGGCTCGGCTTCAATTTTAGTCTTCCTCTTATTTATTTTTTAGTATTAATATATTTATGGTTTACTTCTTCGCATAATTATTGCAACGCGTTGAAGTTACTTATGGGTCGTCGGGACTCCGACAAAACCATGATGAAGACAAGAACGGTAGAGTTAAAAATCAAATAACCTCCTTTAACAAGGCGATAGTCAACAGTCGATATTTTTTAGGTATTTAAATAGGACCGACGCTGACAGGCAAGGGTTCTGTTCCTGCTCATAAACTTGTACATTTAGAAAGTGTTAGGTAATTTGCTTTTGTGACTTTATAAATAAATACTGGTAACTGATAGTGTTCGGACAGGAAATTATTGACCACAATTTCCACTCATTGATAGTAGTGGTGAGATATGACATCTATATAACTATCTATACATTCTTCTACTTGCATGCTTCTACGTAAATTGGCTGGCTTGACAGGAATATTACTACGGCCTCACAAAAAACCGATGTTAAGTATTTCTTTCATGGCCTTTCACCCACTGAGTGAGGTTACGGAGCCCTATCCAAAAACCCGCACTTCTGTCGGGGGGAGGGATGAAAGAGCAACAATGCACTGTGATTCTTTGCCGTGTAGGTGTCCGTTGGCGGAGGTAGTCACTTACCATCATATCATACCATGACTAAAATTTAACAAATTATTGAATTGAAAACTTATTTAGACGCGTTGGGCATTTTTATTAAACAACAAATATAAGAATGTATTTTTTGAGGTGGGAAAAAACCATTGTATTCGCGGCACTGTTACCGTTACCGACACCTCTGAATATTACCCGCCCCCTGTTCAAGAGAGTTGAGTTTGGGTTGAAATACATTGAAAATATAACTATTTATAATATAAACATATATATTATGTATATACATACAACATAGATATATATTCATGTCGGAACTTTTCTAATCAAAAAAAACAAAAAAAAAAACTAGTTTTTAGTTCTGTCGGCACTTCCGGAGTGCTATTGTTTTTTCTGTATAAGCGTATCATCGAGGAAATATCCATTTTTTCTTTAAGATATAAAATTGCCGGAGTAAATTTTTTGAGAAAGAAATATTTGTAGTAAGAAGAGAATAATTTGTTTGTGCTGCTTGTTCATGGTTCATGGTGTCACTACGTCACCAATTACTGCTACTAGATTATATGCACATAGTGGACTATTTATTTGTGCGAGTCTCTGACGAATTTTCTGAGTCTGGGAGTTCTTTTTATACCTTAATTATTATTATTTTTTTGTTAGAGGGGGCAGGCGAGCAATCGGGTCACCTGATGGAGTGACCACCGCCGCCCATGAACGTCTGCAACTCAGGAGTCACAAACGCGTTACCGGCCTTTTAGGAAGGAGTACGCTCTTTTCTTGAAGGTTTGGAGGTCGTATCGGTCCGGAAATACCGCAGAAGATAAACCGTTCCACAGATTGGTTGATAATTAAATTTAATTAATTGTACCTTTGTAAAGATGATATACTCGGCGCATTAGAGAACACAATGCGTTAGGCATTATCTATCAGTGCAGTGCATCATTCGCGGGCAGATACATTAGATGACAAATTAATGGAAAATTAATTTTGCTAATTATTTGGCAAATTACTTTTAGGATAAATTAATAAAAAATTAGGTGCATTCAAAAGAAAATAGACTGAACGTAAAGTCTCCTTTTAAAATGAAACACATTTTCTTAAAACAAATATTTATTCAACAACAAAACATACAGAAAGTGAGAAAATATAAAATATTGTCATGGACTCTTAGTTTATCAATACGACACAAGACATTTCCTACTAGAGGAACAACCGAGGCTCACAGACTAACGTGCAAAGTACACGTTCAACTTTTATATGGAAACCGAATATTTTCATAACCTTACAAAACTTGTATACAAGGATCGAAATATGGATAATTCTGAAACAAAATTAAAATCAATTTCTGCTAATAGATTTAATATTACCTATATTAATCAATACAACAATTGTACAATTGCATTTGTTAGCCCGAATTAAAACATCTTCCATACCGTGACTATTCATTTATAAAAATTAATATGCATAATATATGTACACATAGGTACGAGTAAGTACTAGGAGTACTTGTTATGAGTACTTTGACAATGCCTTATTTGAGTATTTTAATATTGTATATTTAGGTCATTTATATGTCTAGAAGAAGTGTCGCATTACAAAAGAACTACAGCTGACAGTAACATAGCGGCCATCGGTTGGACACTATTTTTTTGACGTTTTCACAACTTTGACAGCCTACCTAGACATGTCAATGATCTAAGATTGTATAATTGGACGTACACATTTGACACACATTTCATTTTAGTATTTCTTTTTACATATTTATGCACTACAACGGCGGACTTAATGCCAAGGGCACTCTCTACCAGCCAACCTAATTTGCACATAAAGTTTTTCATTTTTATTAATTGCATTAGGCGATATTCGCAACTTATTGATTCATAGAAAATATTTAATATTAAAAACTAATAAAATAACATTACATATTTATACGTACTACAACTACAACCAATAAAAAATATAAACTAAAACATTAAAACAAAATGTTAATCTGTTTCTCAAAATATTAAAACATTGGAATGGTTTGATAACTTAAAACACTTAACATTCAAATTCTATCTTACATATAATACCATTATAAACTATAAGATATAGTATATTCAATGCTCCATATTCTACAGTTTCTGACTGAATTATCATTACGCGAAGGCTGCCTAGGTTTCAAGAACGCTTTTCGGGAAACCCCAAAATTAGTTTAGACCGCAATTTCTGGCTTTGACTTAGGTATTTTTAGAACCATCAACACCCTATACTAGTCCAATGCTGGACATAGGCCTCTCCTTAGAAAGGAAGTTTTGGCCTACTATTTATATTATTGTATTTTTAACATATCTAGACGGAGATGTACTAACTAATAGAAATGTCAGTTTTATTGAAAAATGAGGCGGTATTGGGTAGCTATTTAAGTACTCTTTGACCGGTCAAAAAGGTGCGCGCGCATAAAAAATTACTCCTACACGGTTAGAAACTCACTCATCATCTGTGTAATTCATAAAATTTGGTAAATAGTTGATTTGAGTATTCGAGTGTTTAATAAATTTCGAAATTGCCCTATACTTACTACATAAAATACCCTTTTAAACCGTTTTTAAATATGGCAAGCAATTGTAATCACTTATTTAGTTTTATCCTAAAACTATCGTATATTAAACACGTTGTGGCACATTTTAATTAATTGATAATTAAATTCATCAATTAGGTACTTACATCTAATAATTAACGTACATTCTAATATAAAATAAATTCCATATTGTAGTATTATTGTATAATATATTGCTATTAATAAGGCACATACAATTTCCGCAAGACATTGTCTAAGTATTTTTTCCATAAAAATTTGTTCGTTTTAATTTCAAGGCATCTCTGGATTTTGAGGAATCCGATGAATTTAATACATTAACTGTATTAGTTTTAAGACATTCGCGACTTAAACACTTGTTAATCGCGTAAATTGAGAAATAATATTTTTTTTTAATGTATGAAACTTTTTTATTTACCCGAGATTTTGATCTAATTCTATCGATCGTGTTCTGATTAATCTGAAAGCTTACACATTTAATATGTTTTCATTAAATTTGTTGTATGAGGATATCGGTTCACAAATTTCCTTTCTGTTTATAAGCTTTCATAACCTCATGCCACTGTATTTCCCTATCATTCTGTATATTTAAAGGTTTCTTTATATTTAAACATTTCTAACTGTGATGTAAACTTAAAATTCAAGATGCAATTTACATTTGTTTTAGCACAAAATTGCTGGACGGATTTAAATATGGTTAGGTCATATTTATTTTATATTGCTATCAGCTTCTAGTAAATTTATGAATAGCTGTCGCCGAAGTTATTATAAGGTATGTTTTTTCTAATCATCGGTATTATTTCGGATTAAGGGCTATTCTTAAAATACGTTAGCTATTATGGAACTCGCCTATGACATTTTGTTTAATATTCTGCAACCACTTGACCACTTTAACTTGACAACCAACGAAAATGTTATTCACGTCTAATAAATTTGTCGTAGGTTTGACTGAAGATTGTAATAAATGACTATGCTCTTAATATGCCTTTTACTATTGGATTTTTTTATTTATGAGGAACAGCGGATTACTATTTTTTAAGTGACAAAATAAATATCTTTGCCAACATACACTTTAGCCTTAGCACTATGTAACATATAGTTAACGTATTTTATGGATGATCCCTAAACCATGGAACGTTACTCAACAGTGACCGTAGCCACTTCGTTCGCCAACCCACATATATTGGAGCCGATGGCCAAGTAGATGTAGCCACCGTTGCCGAAGTCCTTGCCCCAGGAGTTTTTGGCGATATAATATGGAACTTCAGCTGTCAGATCGTACCCCACCAACTCTACAGCATGATTTAACTCCGCTGGTGAACCACTGTAATTGGCAATTTAATATATTACAGAAACCTTAGAAAGAGTAATTATAATAATAATTAAGTTATCAACAATATAGCGCATTTTTTAAATGTATTTTTATGTATATTAAATGAATAGTATATTAGTAAATTATCTAGGCTATAGCATAAACTAAGCGACGGTAACGTTACAGATATTAAATTTACGATCAAGTGATTTCGGGTTCGAGCCCGTAACTTTAATAGTTAACAAGAGTAATGAAAAAATACCACTACTACGACTAATAAAAAATAAAGACAAATTTCGGACCCAAAAAATAAAATTTACCGCTACATACCTGCAGTGGAATTGTATGACTCCTCCGAGGTAGTGCTGCCAAGTGAGAGCGTTGACCGCCACAGCTACTGGACCGTGTATTGCCAACGCTTCTAATATCTTGTTTTCTGAACCCACGAAACTGTAAATAAGACAAATGGGACTTTATTTACCAATAATAAAAGATAATTTAATAAAATAAAATACTTATTTTAATCCCTAGGAGCATATATTCAAGCGAAAATCTCCGTGCAAACTACGTCTAGGATTTAATTAAAAATATTGTTTTGTTTGTATTAATAAACTGATAATCAATCACATCATCAATCGGCAGCCTTTCTGGACATGGATCTCTCCTTAGAAAAGAGGTTCCTTAGAAAAAAGGCCTTCTATACTATTCTGGCCAGACGGGTTGGTATAGGGTTTGTGTCAAGTTGTCCTTCTCTTTGCAGTGCTGTTGTCCTGGGTAGTTTGCTGCCTTAGTCGGCTCTTACGACACCCACGTAATGAATAGGGGTGACACTCCGTATTCCTTTTCCGTCACTACATGGTCATAGACGTGTGTGTGTATGAAATTTATTCGCCTTTTGAGCATAAAATAAAATTTTACGCACAAAAATCCTTCAAAAACTTTAAAATGACAATTAAACTCACTCGTCACAAGTAAAAGAAGCCACTTTGACGCCTGCAGTAGTCTTGTTTGCCTTACAGACTCCATTAGTAAGACTGAGTGGATATTCCTTATCTATTCCTACACCTGTGCTGCTGGTAAGCAACCAGTCTAGAAGTAAGCAGATGTCACCACCTGCGCAACCTTTGTTACCAAGTTTTGCACAGTCGATGACTTCCTGAAAACGAAATGGGAGATTTTTAATTCAAAACAATTTGGCATCTTAAAAATTAAACAAAATCATTTTAACACACATTTGACTGCACGGATGGCGTAGTGGTTTAAGCGGTCACGTCGCCGGTTCCTACTGAGCTGAGTGTTGTGGGTTCGATCACCACATGGGACAACACTTAGTGTGATCCACATATTGTTGTTCTGAGTCTGGGTGTTCTTTGTGTCCGTTTCATGTATGTTCGTAAAGTCACACAGGATTTATTCCTAGTGCGGGTTGTCTTAAAAAAACAGTATATTGCGAATATTGTATGCAGAAATATGATTTTCACATATTTATAACCAGCTATTGAACACGGCTCAGCTCGTTCTTATTTCGGCATAGTATGCCATAATTTCAAGTTTGTAACCCTGTAGGTCGTGGGTTCGATTCCCACCCAGGACAAACATTTCTGTGTTGAGCACGATCGTTTGTTCTGTGTCTGTTTGTAATTTATCTATAATAGGTATATAATAGGTATATATATAAGTACCTATGTTTATCAGCAGTCTGGCTACCACAGTACAGGCAGTGGCGGATTAGCCACGTAGCAAGAGTAGCTAATGCTACGGGCCCCGCGCATTTGGGGGCCCCCGCTCTTTCTGACCGTAAAAAGTATCTACTTACTCGTATTTCGATCGGTGTGAAAATATTTTTTAAAATCAATAAAGCCAAAATTTTTATCACGAAAGAGTTGCATCTAAATTTCAAACTATAATTTGAGGGTCCTGTTGGTTTAGTGGTTAGTGAGCCTGCTAAGCCAGAGGTCGTGGGTTTGATTTCCACCATAAACTAGATCACCTAAAACAACCCAAGGGGCCCTTGGTAGAATTTGCTACAGGCCCCGCGCTGTCTTAATCCGGCACTGAGTACAGGCTCTGTCTAGTTTGGATCAGACAGCCTTGTGTGAGATGTTTGAAGTTATTATTATTGGTTTAGGCTCTGCTTTGATGAATCAGTTAGCCAATCAGGGCAAGTAATGTTAAATATAGACTAAGGACTCAGGGTGAACTCTCGACTCCATTCATATAACATCTGACATTTCACGTACCAACTGATGGCCAACTCTTACACCGCACGTGTTCATTATTCAAATAGAATGTCGCATGATTCCTCTATTTACTATTAAAGCGATTAAGTGTGTTCATCGCTTTTCACAAGAAAGATCAATGACATACGTAAAAATAAGCATCGGAGAATTTTTATAGCATACCTACGACTTAACCATTATCTTGAATTGGCATAATTTTATTTTGCCCACAAACAGAATGACTAACAGATAACACTCACTAGTAGACATGGTACAAAATCACTGTGAACTGTGCTTTATCATTCGATTTCTGCGTACGTAGGTTAGGGTTGCTAGACACTTAGGTTAGACGCTATTTAAATGTAAATCCATTTTTATATATATTAAAATAATTACTAGATTTACTGTTAAATAGGTAAATAGGGGTATGCATCGTCTGAAAACAGCTTATTGGCAATAACGCGTGAGTAAGTAGTAACCCTAAACTACGTACGAAAAAATCGAATGATAAATCACCGGTCTTTCACAGTTCACTGTAATTTTGTCCGATGCCTACTCACTAGTGTTAAATTTCACGTATCTTCAACCAAACGAAATTATGTACTGGACTTCTCAGAACAATGTTAACAAAAACTGTTTTATTTTTTTTACTAACGGTTATTAAGTAGCTGGTGGGATAAACAATCGCAGACATAAACAGTAACATACATCTTATATAAAAAATTCTCGTGTCACAATGTTAGTTACCATACTCCTCCGAAACGACTGGACCGATTTTTATGAAATTTTGTGTGTACATCGGGTAGGTCTGAGAATCGGCCAACATAAATTTTTCATACCCCTAAAATACAAGGGTACTCTTAATTTTTTTTCAGTATTTCCTAGAAATAACGTATATGGCAAAACTACGTTTGCCGGGTCAGCTAGTAATGTATATTATTATCATACTAGCAGTTTATACAAACACCACAGACTATGACTAAACTAAGAGTTAAAAAGGATGAAAGGTGCCAATGAATCGCTTCCTGAGCTCTCAATTGACTGGGAATGGTTATTCAATAAGATGTAGACGTCAAGTTACCTTTGTGCTTAATGTGTAAAATAATATGTTTGTAGGTATACTATATAACAGCACGGATGGCATAGTGGTTTAAGCAGTTAGCTCGCCACTTCCTACTACTAGTGTTGTGGGTTCGATCCCAACATGGGACAACCTTTCTCGTGTTCTTTGTATCCGTTTAATGAGTGTAGTCCCCCGCGATTCGGAATAGGTACATACATATATGCCTGTTGCGGGAGTTGTCTTTCAAAAAAGTTTACTTCTACAATGAATTTGTTCCTACCTGTACACTGAGTGTTTCAAGTTTTCCGGTTTCAATAGCTGACATAGCTTCTATAACTCCAATGGTACTGAATGCCCAACAGGCACCGCAGAGGCCCTGATTACGCACAGGACCTATTATTCCTTTTGTTCTCCTGTAAAAAATGCATACATTAAAGTTTATTTAAAATATTTTTCAAAAAAGGCTTAATTTTAATAAATTTAAGCCACCTTTTCAGAACTATTCTAATACAGTATGCTGACTGCAGCAACTAGTACAATGGCCTGGTACAGTAGAAATATTACACGAACATTTTTGTAAATTATATACCTGGAGAGTTTTCTTTGGAAGCATTTGTAAGCAAATTTCGCCTACTTAGGTAAGTAAAATTGAGCATACTTGAAGTACGTACGTAAAAGTGCAGAAAGCTAAAAAATAATAATCGCTGTGTATATGAATATGGTTATTAAAGATATAACTACGGCTTTCATGGTGTGGAAAGGATATTTATATAGTAGTTTAAATTATATTATTCAACGGTATAAAATTGAGATTTTCTTTTGACATTTAAGGTAACAAATTTTGGTCAAATGACTACCTGATCAATATTGAATATTCAGTGATTAAGATCAAAAGTGTTGGCATCACGTTGCACCACTTCAAACTGGTCTTTATCTCACTAATGTCATTTGGTATTTCGATTTAGGTACCCACCTAGCATAGATTCATATCTAAAAATGTAAATTAATAATGTTATTAAAAATAAGCCAATGAATAAAAATTATTTATTCCCATCAGGTTGTTTGAAACGACTATGTTATCTCTTAACTTTATTATATTTGAGGTGCCATAATTTTAATAATAACTAATTATAATCTACTTATGAGTAAATTTCATTATTAATTTTTATCCACTTGGAAACAACCGAGCAGGTTTTATAGATTTGTTTAAGCTTATAGCGTTTTTAGAAGTTGCCTTAAATAAATACACCCACCACAAGTTTAAAGGTTTATTTAAATTTAGATCATATAAGTATTTGAACAGAGAAAGTAAGTTTATATTTTGTATCCATTTGTCATTCTTTTTAGAGTAATGAAAAAGGCATTTGTTTGCTAACTCGTTAATTCGTAACGGTATTTTAAGAATGTTCGTACATTGTACGAAGCTATTTCAAAAAGAACATGTTTACTCTTCTCTTGAATTTTTATAACAAATTACAAAATGTGTAATTTGTTCTAAAAATTCTTACCAAGAATATTAAAAATGTATGTTCTTAAATGATGATTATTTCATCATTAAAAACTAAAAACGTAACAGGTAAGTAAGTTACATATACTTCAGTAGATACACGCGGCGTGTAACACGCCTTAGTACGTGGCACAAGACACAGGATCAGGATAATCGGACAAACTTATTAAATTATTGTATTATCATTGGTACTTGATATGTGCGCGAAGTTTCAATTCAATCCGACGTTTTAAAATGGGTGAAAATCATGTTCGAAGATTCCGTTACATACGAGTATATACAGGTGAAGCTAATTAAAAAGTGTTTAATTGTGGTTTTCAACATATATTGCGGTGTTTACTTATATTGTGTGTCACAAGAATGATAAATTGGTATTTAAACGAACTTTTTTGTGTAAAACGATGCATAATATTAAGATTAATGAGTTACATGCTTTACTTATTACTAACTTGTAAGTACTTTTACAAATCATGCCTAAAGTTTCTAATGAAGTAGAAGATTTGAATCAAAGATACATATACGAGTATAGACACACATAGAATTATAGTTTGGTCTTATAATGGAAAAATACAGAGTCTGATGCATAAACCAGTTTCACTTCGTGTAACGACTTGCCGGACATTTTAGACACATTGATTCTGAATATTTTATTGTCCATGCTTGACCGTAAAACAATGGCTTGAAAGCGTGACGGAAGAAGTAGGAAAAACGTATGAGGAACATCAGGAGAGTTTTCGCCTGACAGTAAAACAACGGAGTTCTGGCTCTAACAGGTTTTCTTATACCGAGACTCCAAAACGTACATTTAGTTGCCTTCTAATGGCACACAAAAAATATTGCGTTAGAACTGGTCAAACAACTTTGATAAGATGACTTAGGCCACTATTCTATAATGTCTATTATGCTTCTTGTCGACTCCTAACTTTTCACAATTGCTATATAAACAGGAATAGTGAGAAATAAAAGAAATACTTATTGCAACATTTATCGACTTTGAATGTTAGAATAAGAAGTATCATAATTGATAGATATAATAAGCAATCTTCTTACTTTATTGGCATTGATCGTGTGTCATAAAATTAAAAGTAAAATGTCTATTGTTCTTTATTAGAATTCTTACTTTTATTTCTTATATCGTAAATCACTTATTTTCTAAAACTTGTCCAATCATCACAACACACATCAACAGTCTTTAATAGTCCATTAAAGGCATGGACTATTAAAGGCTGTTGATGTGTAATGTGAGGCCTATGCCTCTCCTTAGAAAGGAGGTTTTGGCCTACTATACCACGCTGGCCAGACGGGGGGTCGGTATAGGGTTTGTGTCAAGTTTTCCTTCTTTCTGCTGTGCTATTGTCCTGCGTGGTTTGCTCCCTTAGTCGCCTCTTACGACACCCACGGGACGAATAGGGGTGGTGACACTCTGTATTCTTAATCCGTCACCACACGGACCTTGAAACATGTCCAATAAAGTTGAAATAAGTTCAAACAATTCCCTTACCCAAAAAGTTCAAAGCCACTTGCCGACATTCGATTCACCTCAATCCTACCTTTCCTAAAGGCTTAAAGGTCACTTGATTCGCTTAAAGGTCACTCAGATTCTTTAAATCCACTCATGGTACATACCTAACCTTAGCTACCGTTACAGATAACATTAGACTCAAAATAGAAAGTGCCAATTCAATTGTGCTTTTTATATTTTCAAAATTGACTTGTCTGACTGACATCCGCTTTTAACGGTAAGACTATCCTATTGTACTAACTGCCTATTTTAATTGTTTCTAATTATGTATAATCCTTTCCCTAAAGTGGTGTATAATAAAAATATGTAAGTCCATGGGATATTCGGTCGGATTCAACAAGTACGAATTAGATAATATGTGATGCACACGTATTGTTATTAATATCTAATTCATAATATATAAGCAAATACTTCACGAAGATAACTCTGTTGCAATAAGTGAAATATTTATTTATTTTATTTTATTTATTTTATTTTGTTCGGAAAACATACAGTGCATATAACAAAGGATACAACATGTGTTAACACTATCCACCATTTACATGTTTTCGCAGTTATACATCTAAACAGCTTGTGATGTTTTAACAAACATACTAATAATTAAAAGAACCGTGCAATTATAATAAATGTAAAAGATAAATAAAATGAGAAAACTAAAGCAACAAAAACCGAAATGGTAAAAAAATAAACAAAAGTTATACAGTTCAATAATATTAGCCCGAGAACCATGCATCTGTTAATACTCTGCTAAATTGGTATGGTTTAGTGTTAAACAAATCCAATTGTGGCAAACCAACCAGTCCGTTAATTTCTCTTGCAGCTCTGACAAAGAATGAGTTCTGCCCATAGTTTGACGAACAATGAGGAACATCTAGATATACATGTTGTCTAGTCATCCTGGTTGGTACTTTAAGGTTGATTTTAGATAATAAGGTAGGTGAATCAATAACGTTCTGAGAAATTTTGACAAGACAAGTGACATCTGAAATCCTCCTTCTTTCACACAATGGTAAGATAGGATGTCTTCGACAGCGCGCTTCATAAGTTGGGTCGTAACACTTAGACTTGTATTGCAGATGCTTTAGAAACCTACGCTGTATAGATTCCAGTCTTTCCCTGTGAACGTTGTATCGTGGATTCCACACTTGCGAGCAATACTCGAAGACACTACGCACCAGCGAGCAATATAGCACTTTTAACACTTTCAAATTTTTTAATTGAGAACCAGACCTGAGAACGAAACCCAATGCCCTACCAGCCTTTTTAGCAATATAATCTATATGTTTTTCATATGTTAACTTGGAGTCGTGAATAACTCCCAGGTCTCGGACCTCATCCACCTGCTGCAACACATGACCCCTAATAGAATACGTAAAATTAATTTTTTTGGCTTTGCGAGTGAATGTAATGAAGTGACATGCTTCTCTTTGAGATTAATTTATCTATACGAATAAATAAAACTGAAGTGTCTGTTTTTAATGTCAAGATAATAGGTTTTCTCGTGCTCACACGTTTATTTGCATGATACCTATATATGATATATCTTTTCAATACGGTTGGACCGATTTTGATAATATTTTACTACCAGGTAGCTGTCTATATAATGAGTAGCTTAGGCTATTTTCCTCTTAGAAAAAGCCTATAAAATTTTGCCCAGTCCGAGAATCCGAGGCCTAATGGACTACAGTCGCGTACCGTACCACACCACTAAGGTAGCGCTTTTCAAATTCCAAGCGAACGAAGCCGCGGGTACCAGCTAGATTGCTATAATACTTGTATGACATATAGTATGGCCATTGAGCGTTATTCAATAACTACAACCTGCCTTCGTTTATATCAAAGATATTTTCGCCTAGTCCAGTATTATTCATCCATAAGTATTAGTCTTTACAGGCTGTTAAATCAATTGAGAGATTATTTTCGTCCGTCCTACGCCCTGGTTACCGGTTTCGAATGCATTTGCTATACTTATATACTTCTTATAGTTTGTCAACTTAGGTTGACTTCAGCGTGTCGCGTCGCCTGAAGGCTAAAACTAATTTAATATACGATAGGAGTCAACTCGTATTACAAAAGTAATGTTACCGATTACTAATGATTTTTATTTTACATAAAAGGTACTGAATTATTGTTCTGATTTGATTAAGCTAAATAAAGTAAACAATTGACAGTTCACCGGTGAAAAATTGACAGATTACCGTTTTTAGTAAAATGCAAGATAATTTAACGTACCCGTGGACTCGCCGAAACCTCCTTTCTAAGGAGAGGCGTATGACCAGCAGTGGACTAGTAAAGGCTGTTGATGGATGGTGGATGGATGGACTCGCCTAGTCATACTGTATTTTTAATGTTCACTTTGATGATTTTATACGCACGTCATAGCAGTGTGAATATTTGTGCTATTAGACCAATAGTGAAATAAGAAATAAATTAAGAAAAACTTACCAGTCTACTGTCATAGGTAACGCCACACGTTTCGTCCTGATGTTTATATAGAGGTTAACATTAGCCTTATTACCACCAGACCTATCCTTGTGATGAGTACTATTTCCAGGATCCATATCATATCTTAAAGTATCACTCATTTCCCTGCCATGATTCCAATTCTTGTTGTACGACTTAGGAGCCTTTGAGACTTTTTCGTCTGATAGATGTATCTCTTTGAATTCAGACTGTGACATATCTGACAGCTTTGTTAATCCATATTTGGCTCCAGAACTACCTGAATCTCTGGACGCTGCGTTCAGTTTCTGTATTTCCCGGTATGATGACTGAAATAAATATACTAAGATATAATACAGGTAGACAAAGTAACCCACTGAATTAAATAGAGTAACATGAAAGAAGAAACTAAGAGCCTATTTATTTAAGTATTCTCCTGAAGTTTCATCTCATCATATATTTTAGCTCTATACCCAGTTAACTTCTGAATATTTTAAACAACACAGTAGTCATTTATTATTAATAACTTTTAATCAGACATCTGTAATGTTGATGTTCCTGCTAAACGGCAAAATAAGAATCTAGTTTCAGCAAAAATAAAACCGCGGTTAGCAATATGCGCCGCAGAGGCAGACAGGTAACTTACCGTAAATGACCGAAAGTTACCGTAATATAGATAAACTCCAGGGCTAAATCAGAGTATTTATTTTGCAAAAATAAACATGGCCTATGATCTTGTCACAGTAAACCTACGGAACTCGATTGGCGAGAGTTCGTGATTTTTTTTTTGCAATAGACGGTTCTCAAAAAACCGGACCTTGTACAAGAAAATTATATAAATAAATTTATAGGTTCTTAGAAACCTACTCAATATTACAAGTTATGTCAATTCCTGAAGTTTATTGAGATATTACAGAGAAGAACAAATAGAGTTTACTACTACCTTATACCCGCGTAAACGTTGGCTATCGCGGTAAAAAGTAGCCTATGTCTTTCCTCAAGAATCATACCAAATTTCATCTAAACTGGTTCAGCGGTTATTGATTCCCCATACAAAATTTCAACCCCTTAAAGGATGATTGCTGGAATAAAGACTACCCTATGTCCTTTCCCGGGAATTGATAAATAAATATAGACAATAATCATAGAAACACTTATAAATATAAATAAATAATATAGGCAGTAATGGAACTATTTTTCATAGAATTTATATTATACAGTTTAGAGCGAAATGAATGACAATTTCGTATAATTATCTGGTTTATGGCATACCTATACCTAGTCTAGAGAAAGAACAGTCTATGGTTTTCTCGCTTCTTGAAGTGAAGAAACATTCGTGGTCATCAGGTGTCCTTAAGCATAAATTAGAAATGGTCGAATTTAAGAATTACATCATCTAAGTTCCTGTATTTCACTGGTATATGTTCGATACAAATAAATTAATTATGTTATTTCGATTTAAAACTCTAGCAATTGGTGGTTGTTGCACATTCACAGAAAAGTATTTTACATTTGTTAATACCTACGAGTATGTGAAGATAATTCTTTTCACCGCTTTTCAAGCATCTTTGTAGCATAGGGGAATGCCAAATTTAGAATATTTAAAGTTTGTATCAGAAAAAGTTTTATATAAATTAAAAAAGTTATGCGAAAACATTTACAGTAAGCTACAAGTCTATACAATTCAATTTTGTAGCATAAGTTGTGAGTTGATTTTCTTGAAAAATTCAAAAGCACACTTTCACCGCTTTGTGTCAAAATTACTGTTTCACAAAAATGACTATTTCACTAAAGTATAACTACACATAATATTCAGCATTAGTTCTATTAACTCAGAGTTTAATAAAAAATAATTAAGTAAACTAAAAAATACATAACCTGTATTACTAATGTACCTTAAATTGCATTTGACCTCTTATCAGCAATACTCACATTGATAGCTGCTTTCATTACTCTTAATGAATAATGATTAATTCCATTATCAATTTCCCATATGAAAATAATTTCTGTTGTCAATATTATGAGTTGTGCATTGTGCAACCTCATTCATTTTATTAATGTTGAAAAAGATTTTACTGAGTTTTTTTATGGTTAGAGAGCAAATGGGCAGAGAGGGATCATCTGATGCTAAGTGACAACCATCGACCATGGACACCAGCAACTAAAGTAACACTAGTGCTGCCCCCATCACAGAATTTAGGGAGAGGAACACCAGTTTTCTGTGGGGCCATATGTCCCAACCTCTGTCTAACTGTCCGTCTGTTCTAACGTGCCAAAGCCTGGCGTCTCACCGTCAAAGTTGATTGAGAGGATGTAAGACTGTCTCGATGTACTATGTACCCTAGCTCATTGAATTTGTATCGATCAATGAGCTAGGGTACATCTCAACTAGGGATCTGTATACATCCCTACACTGTTCAGATCCTTAACTCGAAGAAGACTCATTTACCTGCATTAGCGCCATTAAAATGTGAAATAAACAAGTGTTAGGGACTTGTTACTTAATAATCAATCTAATTGCACAATAATTTGTGTGACAACTAAAAATGCAGATATTTGAAACACATTTTTTGCTTTTAATACACTTGTGTGTTTTTAGACATTAAAAAAAAACTAACATGGCATTCCTTATAATATTAAGCCTCATTAAAAAAGTTTAGAATGAAAAAAAACTACTGTTATGACAGAAAATGGCCAAAATAATTTGTTTAAAAGATTAGTTTTAACATATAGATTTTATATTAAACAGGTAAATATTTTTTTAAATGAATATGTAAATAATAACATATGTTTCTGTACGAATAAGAAAAGAGAATCTTAAATGTATTTACTTAAACAGTATTATAAAAATATTACTATTGCATTGACATTGAACATTGAACCTTAAAAACATTTATGTTCATACATATTCATTAAACAGATACACCATTCTGATTCTATTAATAAATTTAAAAAGCTGTAAAAGTCCTTCATATTGCAACTTATTTCATCTCATTTAAGTATAAGGCCAGTGTATTCATAAGACAGAGTTTTGTCACTAATTTAAATGTCATTGTACAATAATAAAAAATATATAAAAAATACCTACCACAAAATGTTGAAATCTCGTGGAATATTCCTGTAGATTAGCGTAACTTTTATTATATTTTTGGATATAATCATCGAATATCGGCTTTAATGTTTCTTCAGATGGCTCACTCGATAACATTAATGGCAAAACAACGAACAATAAACAACATAGAGAGAACGCCAACAGCCAATTCCACCATTTCAGCATTTTTAATGTTTTCGCAGAGCAACTTCTTAGAAACAAAATAATAAGAACAGGGAGGACATTAAACTAAAACTGATAACAACACAGTCACAACATGAACACGAGCACAACAAACAAACAGAAAGAAAATAGTGACAGACAACTTTGACGTACACATTTTCGATGTTGCTAGCTCTATGTTATAGATTTCTCCCAGATCTTATTTTGTTGGTTTTGACTTCACATTCATAGATGTATAGTAATGAGATAATTCCGTAGTAAAGAAAATCTAATTAGTTCTTCTCCTACTGCAGATAGCCACACAACCTTTTCAGCTCATGCTACCAAAAATCTATGGCCCTATTAACTTCCATTCTAGATCTAATTTAAATGCAATATTAATAGCAACCCTTCCATTCTCGGACTGACAATCAAAGAATTTAGTAATGCTGACAATACTACAATTAAAAAAATAATAATTAGTGATTAAATAAAGTGCGTATGTCGATCTAGTTGAAAATAATATTTTGATTATTGATAGGTATATAACATCACTCTACACGGATTATCCAAATAATAATCTAATTAGAGTTGGCGTTGTTGATTTAGACACAACGTCGGTATCTCTATTTTATCATCTTAATCATCTCAGCCGACCACCACTGCTGGACACAGACCTCCACAATGTTCGCCACAACAGGCCTCTGTTTATGTACTTAAATTTTTTATTTTGTAGTCGTCCTTTAATGAAATATTTGGGCTGAATTCATAATCATATGTTGGCTAGGAAGTTCAGCTTTACAAGAACACGATAACAAAAACTTTTTTAGGAAATATCCATATTAAATGTATATTACGTTTGACCTGGACACGCCATTCTTTGTGAGAACCTTTAGTTTTGTCACTTTCAAAGTGATATTATTGTTTTATATTATACCATAACACATTAACAGCTGCACATGTGGGTAGTTGTGTGCAAACTAAGGTTATGAAATAATTTAAAACTGCTGTGTACATAAAAACATTTTTATTTAACCATTTACACTTATTATACTATTAATTTGACTATTAATCCTTGGACGAATCAAATGTTACAAAACACCACTTATGTTCAATAGCAGCGCCAACTCCAGTCGTTTTGCGGAGGAATACATCGTTATATTTGTTCAAAACATCATGAACAGTCGTTTGAGAAGCTTCGGATACTATAGATTTCACATAGGACACGAGGTAATCTAAGGATGCTCCCCGTGGATGTACCATGAGAAAGGCTGACAGTATGCTAATAAGCTTCGCGTCTGAAGCAGGTAATGTGGCTGTAGAAGATATGTTGTCGTCTGGGAGCGGAGGTGGTGGATGTGGTTTCGGCGGTGCAGCTTTGAAATCCTTGAAGGCAAAATGTAGTTTTGGCATCGGTGGCGATGGCAGAGGTGGATAGACCTAGAAAAAGATGTTTAAGAAAATAAAATATTGTTTAAGATCTATCTAGCTTGGCCTAGGGCACATTTAGATGCCAGGAGGGGTCCAGATGTCTTATAGTCCGTAAAATATAGCTTGATACCGGTGACAGAATAGAATAGAAGCAAATCCGACGAAATAACTTTGAACCAACATCTTAATGACACTTTCGTTTCACTACACCGGTAATCTCAACTTTACGCAATCAATAATATACTAAAAAAGGCCAAATTTATTTTTATAATAAATACTACCTGGTTCTTGCTTGAAATAGAAACATAAAACTTTTTTTGTACACATTTTTTTTTTTTGATAAATTTATTAGTAGGCGCCTACAAGCTTCTGGCAATGGTACAAAAATCTAGGGATGAGATGAATCGATTAGCTTCAATCTATCATTTGATTATTTTGAGACAATATTTTTCTTTACCGTTGGCCTAAATCTTATACTTGTAACAGTTTTATAATTTTATTTTTCTAACTTTACACACCTAAAAAACAAATATGCATTCTTAAGTCCCATTTACATATTGTAAAGAAAATTATAAGTATGAAATTTGACATACAAAATCATGTCGAGTGTCGCAAGTTTGTAGTTAGCTTGTGTCAATATTTTGAACGCGTGAACCAAAGTGCTGGACTATTAATATGAAGAAGGCATCAGCTTCCCCGCCGGCATAGGTGCTTTAGTGAGTCATATCAGTGCAGAAAAATATATCAACTAGGAAATAGTTTCAACTTTAAATTAGTTAGTGGTGCCCCTAAAAGATGCAGATATATTAAAGGAAGTATAGCGTCGTAGTAAGTCAAAACCTTTTTTCTAAAAAGAAGCCTATGTCCAGCTGCGTTAAATACTTTACTATGAAAATACCTTTTCTGACATTTGTAATATCAAGAGTGCATCAGAACTGAATTTTGAACAAACTTTTATTACGAGAATTGACATATGTATATTTTTTTAAGTTTGTGATTAAGAACATAAAATAATCTGCAGGATTGTTCCAAAACGACGACTGAAGAAGCTGATTTGGGTTGTAATTCACGATATGCACAAAAATACGAGATTAGGCAATACTAATAATACGAGGTTGGTTTACTCAAAAATACCTGTTTATTCTGTAGTGCTTGTTGAGCGATAAAATGAGCTTTGAACTTTTCAAACTTCCTTTCAGCCTCGTTTTTTGCTAAATGGGCTTCATTCTTGTAACCTTCTAACTCGTAGGTCAAGTTTTCGTTTTCAATCTTAAAAAAAGACGGTATGGTATGTTAGACATTTACATCACATGTCTAAAGACTTTTCGACGCCTAAACTTATTTGACTTTTTCACCAATAAATACTTTTTTCCGAGTGTAAGATTCTCCATGTTTTACCCTGTACCCCTGATAAAATGAAGACAAAATTTCATGTTGATCGTTTCAGTAGTTAGGGCGACAAACCGTGAAAAAAACAATACATTTATAATATTTTAAATTAAATTTATAGTTAGTTTGATAGTAAATGTTCGTATTTAGAATAAAAATATTTACCCGTAGCTGTTCGTATTTCTCCATTGTAACGACATTTTTGTTTCCCCTTTCTACTTCATCTTCATCGAACATTGTATTGAACTCTTCCGTTATGTTGTCCAATTCCTGTAATTTAACTTAATTATGCAATATTGTCCTCCATGTCTTATGTTTGTGCTCAATAAAGAACATAAAAGGCAGATCAACAAAAAAGTGATCCAATAAAGGTTCTTTTTTTTGCATTTAAGGAACGGTACCCCAAAAACTTCATGACCATAACTATGCCATTTCGTCATTATCAATATTTAATTCATTATTGAATTAAATATAATTGATTGATAAATCAAGGTAAAAACAAAAAACAAAATTTAAATAGTCTCATAAGAGATTCCACTTTTAAACTGATCAATTAATTAAAATTTATTTTAGATTGAATTTAATAAAAAAATGATAGGTATTTGTACCCACTTCATCAACAGCCTTTAATAGTCCACTGTTGGACATAGGTCTCTCCTTGGAAAGGAGGTATTGGCCTACTATACCACGCTGGCCAGACGGGTTGGTATAGGGTTTGTTTCAAATTTCCCTTCTCTTTGCTGTTTGTTCCCTTAGTCGGCTCTTACGACACCCACGGGATGAATTGGGGTGGCGACACTTTGTATTCTTAATCCGCCACCACACGGACCCACTTATTTCAGAAACTCCTTTATTCAATGGAAGTTAAATGGCCAACCCTTCTCTAATATCGTATAATTAACTCAACTATTAAGTAGACTTTATCTTGGGGCAATCCTCCAACACTGCTCTCCTTCCACCGAAGAATATATTTAAAAACCAAATTCACAATCTGTTACTTAGATATTAGATTAAGTTCAAAATGAAAAGAAAACAGCTACCATTAAGTTACATTATGTAAAGACTTTTAATTTAATCATAATCAAACCACAAGAATCCGTCGTTTTGTCGTTTTTATCTTCGTTTTGTGTATCTATCTGTCGCTGGCATCTGTTTTTCTAAATAAAGTCGCAAATAGTTAACAGGATTCTAGTGACTGAATTATCAATAAATGAAGAATGGTGTCGTCGACCCCGAAGTTTTAGCAAAAGATGTCTATCGGAGAAGTAAACATGTTGCATTGACTCGACGATCGAAGACGTTTTTGGATGTGGAAGTCACGCAGTCACGATATCGGCCTAGCAAAAGTCCTTACATAATATAATTTACATAATCCTGACAGATTGTAAATTAATACTCACTTTTGATCCAATGATTGAAGGTGACGTTTTGCTAAAACCGCATACAGACACAAGTCAATAATGATCATCGTTTACCAAAATGACGAGAATATTGAAAATAATTCGCGCTTAACGAAGCGAAGAGGAGATGCCTTGTACCGACAAGTTTTCAGAGCTCGTTGAATTTGAGTTCCTGCATACTTTACCCAGAGTTTGGGATCCTTGATTTCGATTCGATCCTCGGTTGGGATGTAGCGAGAACAGCTACCTAGAACGCCGTTTGTCGAGTAGACGAATATCAATGAATACACGAGACATCTCCATTTGGCTTCAAAAAACGATTATCATAATACTCACTTTCCGAATCTGCATATAGTGGGTACAATCGAGCATTTTTTATAGCTATGAAGTAATTTTCTAATATTAAATACGTACCTCTGTCATTTTAAGCCACATCTCAACATTTCGCCGCTGCTGCTTCGAGAAGTGGTCAGAGACGCGCTGGAGTTTTGCCGCGGTCAGTATTTTCGCTACCTGTTCGACTGTCGTTGACAATTATGAATTACTTAATAAAGACATTTTATAATGTAGCAATTTTAACCTTGCTATATGTATTACTAACATACGTTTATACTGCATTTGTAAAGATTTGAGTTTGAGAGACAGCATGCCATTGCGTTATGAACATAGCTATTAATTTTGTTTTATTTACAGAATTCTGTGCAACAAAAATTTTAATACAATACTATGCATACGCATCAGATATGCAAATTTTAAAAATGAAATACAAAATGTCTTTACTTAAACTAAATTAAATAAATGTTTCATCTTCACATATATATTTATCTTATGCGAGAATCGAATCACTTCAGACTCACACACGCCACGGTTGTTCATCAAGCAGCAAAGGTCAAAGAAGATAGGTATTAAGGAAGTAGTTGCCAAATTACATAACTATGACCGTGGGCCATCTATGCTGGAGGCGGTCTTGTCTCTCTCTTATCCTAAGATACCTAGGGGGTCCGCGGGAGGATGTCCGCCGCCTTTACTGATGCGGTGCGGTGCGGTGATACGATCCATGGCCGTCTAAGGAAAATCACCACATACTTTTGGCGAGGAGCCAGGCCACAAAGGCCCGAGGAGCAGGAGATCCGAAGGGCTTTTCCAACCCGTCAATGTTATGTTATGTTAACATATCGATAAGAATACTTATCTGTCTGTTAATACCCTAATGTAAAACCGTGCAGACTTCGCGAAGCATCAGAAACACGCGCATAATTGATATATGATTGGTCGACAACCGAAACCGAAATATACATTTAAAAACATGGTTTTAAAGTATACTACTAAAGCATACTTTAAAACCAATGTTATACTAATGTATTTTCTGAAAGCGTTTGTAGTTTAGTATTCGAGCCTTAGTCTTACCGATTTCCTGGACTGAAGAACATCCAGCGAACTTACACAAGTTTATGTAGGTGAGGATTCAACTTCAACTTTTGATTAATGGCTTGTAGCTCTGATGTCAATAAAGAATTGAAATCTACTTCAACTCTTCAATCTACTTTATCTTAAAAATATCTAAATCTTGAATGTCCAGACATTTCGTACACAGCTTTCCTCAGAACGTTATGAAGCAGGGGAGTAGTAATTTGCTCTACCCGGTTGCTGAACACTAAATGATACATCCAGTCTTCTTCTGCTTGTGTAATGGAGTTCTAGGTGATATAGCATGGTAGAAAATAAAGTAACTAACCAGATTTGACGGCCAGGCCTGGTGGTTTGTTGTGCAGAAATGATGGGTTGATCAACCGGAAGCTCTTAATGTAGGTCTTGACTTTTCTCTATACCAAGAGACAGCCTCTTGGTAGAATATCTTGCTTAGGGGCGCTAAAGCATTTCATGCCATACGTACTTACGTGTAAGCGGCAACTCACAAGTTGGCGAGCTGCAAAAGCGAAGCGCATGCTTTCTTGATTCCAAGCGGTGCCTATCGACACTCATAACATATGCGCATTAGGCCTCTTGAGAACTCTTGGACTCATCAGCAGCAGCAGGTTAACCGCGGTTTTTTAGAACTTAAGAGTATCTAATTCTTTATCAAATTTATTTTAAATGGGCCCTCTATCAAGCTCAAAGGAGACAGCTCCTTTATGAGATTAACGTACGAATTCTAACCTTCGCTAACGCTGTCATCGAGGTCCCTTTTTTGTTGACGGGGTGGAAAATCCCTTAGGGTTTCCTTTTGATATTTCCACTAAAAACCACCCCGCTAAAAACAACTAAAAACGGTCGAGGCCCCTAATTAGCAATTTAAAATACTTACCAAAGAGATTTTTGATGCGTTTGTTTTACTTTGCTTGTAAAAAAATGTTGTTTAGCATCTATCGACGGCTCGTACCTACTTCGTTTTCAATAAGAAATATTTTTCAAACATCCTGCATCACAAATAAAAAAGAAAAGCCTCCTACCAGGCGATAATGCAAGGCGAACCACGGCGCAACATTTGACGTTGAACAAAGGTTGTTGTTTCAAAGCACTCCAGTTTATCTTTGCTCTATGGTGATCATAATTAAACGAACCTGTACCTGTACTTGCATATATTTAATGTCTCGGTAGTCATTCACCTATCCATTTGATGGTTATTCCTAATCTTAAATAGTTTTTAGTTAGCAAACGATTCTAATTTAGTCAAGCAATGTTAAAGATTTAAACACTTTAAATCTAAAAAAATTAAATAAATATTCTACAATACGCTAAATGAAATAATGGAACTTCTTTCAGAATTCAAGCTCTAGAAATACATATCATTTACTTACTTTTTGCTTTTTATATTCCGTGTTATTGTTGCGACTATCTGTTATATGGACTTGAAAAATTCTATTATACTTACACTGTAGAAGAATATGAGTAAACTTGTCCTTCAAGCTGTTCTTCATGGATTGAAACTCTTCGTCAATCTGCATCTTCTCATTAAAGAGTCTTCTGAGTTGGTTGTTGCTTGCTTGAATTAGAGAGTAGAAGTTGTTGGCGTTTTTTTTGTTACACTCGCCACGTTCAAGCCAGGCAATCAGAGTCTGGAACCAATATGACAACATCAAACGGTAAGCCTTTACACAAACGCTAAAGACATATCCTTCGAAATTACACACTTACAATTAACGGATACAAAACACGAGTTGCGACTTAACTATTTCGACAATCTAACTTTGACTTAGACTTTCTAACTGATTTGTCCTGGTCCTGGTTTCAAGTGTTAGGAATGTAAAGGAATGAAATAAGATGTTTTCTTTAAAATTACTCCTACATTTAGTGTATTACAAAATACGAATTTATTCAACATGTGTCTAAACAAATCAATGAGTAAAACGGAATAATCCAATGATAAATTGGTGCATTACCGTGGATGAACTTTCTTGACAACTACTTTCACTGCTTATATTACCTACTCATGATGTCAAAAACATCTACAGCTAACACTTACTGAAGCTGCATCAGCGAAATCCGAATCACTCTTGATCTTATCTGAAATAGTGCTGAACGTAGCAGGAGTGTATGGCTCCACACGCTGGGGAGTAGATTCACGTCTGCGTTTATTTTTTTCATACTCATTTTGGTCTTCACGGTTCTGGTTCAGAAAAAGGTTCAATGTTTCCGTATTTTACTTGCAAGAAATTAAATACCAGCCCTGATGTTATACTCATAAGAATATATATAATAAGAATCGCTTACATTTTATAAAGCGGTGGAAACTATGTAATATATAAAATCAACGAATATGTATAAATATAAATATTAAAATGAAACAAGTTAGATTCTGAGGCTAATCAAGCTCAGTTTCAAGCTCTTATTACCAATGGTATGGGAGAAGTTCACTAGGTAGATCAACCAGGTAAGGTAGGCTAACTATTCAAAAGCTTTTGACTAAATGAATTTCTACATCTTACTTTAAAAAAAATTGAATCCTATATATAGTTGGTGGCAGTGAAACTTCTAATCAAATCATTATTCAGGCATTGAGGGACAAAAGATTTTAGAGCTGTGTTTATTACTACACATTCTGGAGTTCTTCAAGGACCACATTTGGGTCCCCTACTCTTAAAACATATTTCAAGAACATTTATTATATTTTTTAATAATATTCTCAATTTCTATTTTAGGCAAATGATAAAAAAAAACCTACTGATGACATAACGTGCATGGCTTTAATGAGCTTCATGCCTACTGTGAGCACAATTTCAATTCAACACAATTCAATAAAAGTGCTCTTGTATCTACAACATAAGTGCACATGTCGTGTACTAACAAATCTTTCCGCTTTCTAGTTTCCTAATGTTTTATAAAAGGATTCTTGTTTCTTACCAAAGCAAAATCAATATAAAGTGTGGTAGCCTCATTCTCGTTCTGATCATGTGCTTTAAGACGACATCCTGTCACTGAAAATGACTGTTCAACACTGTCCTGTTTCATGAACCGTACATGACATACGCCTTTATGAAGTTTTACTTCTTCAATATCTCCGAAGCGTTGGAAAATTTCTGTTACAACATCTTCAGTGATAGCCTGAGGCACTCCACCAACAAGGATTGTACGGCAGCCAAATGGACGTTCCCTTCTAGGTGGAACTGAAGTCCCTGGTAATGGGGGGAGTATCACTCCAGTACTGAAGTACATAGGCAGACTTAATGTTTGCATTTGTGTGTTCATCATCATCATATTTGGTGCCATATTCATTCCAGGTATTTGCATCATTTGCTGCATGTTAGTCATTTCTATTTGATGCTGCATCATAGAGCCAGACATTATGTTGCCATATTGCATCATTGACGGTTGATGAGCTGTATGTTAAACAATTTTTTTTTAAATTTATTGTTCTTAAAATTACTGTGTAAGTCTTAACGTCACAACTACTGACTAATGGTTCCATTTGAATTCCGACATATTAAAACTAAAACTGGTTAAATATATAATAGGGGTTATATATAAAAAGCATGAAATTGTCGTTGTATAGTAATAAATACTTTGAATTGAGAATTTCGTGTGAAACCTATGATTTTATATATATGAAATATGGGTCCTTCTTTTAAAAAATGTGCAACATTATTATGCAATTGTTTTTTTTATTCAGCTTAGACGTGAAAGATGGATACTTCGAAAATCCCAATTATTTTCGAATACGAGTTCCAACGAGGAACTAACTCGGGAGAAACGGCTCGCAATATCAACGCTGCGTTTGGAGAGAAGACTGCTAATGAACGCGCCGTGCGTTTTTGGTGTAAACGCTTTCGTAATGAAAACTTTGACTTACGCAGGAGAATAACGCTGAATTGAAGGAGATGGTTGAAGCCGATTCAAGTCAAACTGCCCAGGAATTAGCGACATAGTTTAACTTTACCCTACCAACAATATTGACTCATTTCCATCAAATCAATAAAATAAAAAATATGAAAAATGGGTGCCCATGATTTGACTGCTCTGCAGTGCAGTATTAAAACTTGTGTTACCTTGTTGAATCGGTAAAGAAATGAAGGAATATTGAATCGAATTGGGACATATGAAAAATGCAATGGCTGACCCTAGGTGCCGCAACAGTGCCCTGCAGCAAAGCTCACCAATAAAAAGGTAATGGTACCTTTGGTGATCTCTTCATGGTGTTTTTTACTACAGCTTTCTCAGGTGTGGTCAGGCAATAACAGTAGATGTTTCCTGTGCCGAACTTCGTACAATGATGGCGAAATTGGCAGTGAAACAGCCCCGACTCGTGAATCGATCTTCACCATTATTGCTTCATGATAATACAAGACCTCACGCTGCACGAGAAACCGTTGTAACTCTAGAAGAGCTGCAGTTAGAAACCATACGTCATCCTCCGTACTCGCCAGACCTTGCTCCAACGGACTAACATTTTTTTCGTGATTTGGACAATTTTCTTTCCAGGAGGCAGTACAAAATACTTTCACACAGTTTGTCGAATTTAGATCCCCAGAGTTCTCTCGTAAAGGCATAAATGAACTTCCGTTTAGATGGCAGCAATGTATAGATAATGAGAGTAAATATTTTGATTAAATAAATATGTTTCATCTTAGAAAAAAACGAGTTTAAAATTTTCAATACAAATCGGCAATTTCATACTTTAACACCTAATATTTAGGCATTGGTAGATTGGGCATTTCTACTTTAAAAATATAATGCCATAAACAAACATTAGATACCACCAAAAATTGCAGATCTATTGCATAATTGTACAGTACCTTGCATCATAACAGCAGATAGATTCAATTGTTGGTTGTACTTGTCATCATCCCACTTGGAGTGTCTTTCTCTGTGGTCGTTGCGACTCCTTTCTCTCCGATTGTTCCTTTTGCGGTCTTTGTTATAGTCGCGGTCACGATTCCGGGACCTTGAGCGGCGACGACTTCGATCTGTAATAGCAATACAAACATTTTCAAAAAGAAACATAACTTGCTTTAGCAGTGAATGAACACATGGTGTAAATCTATGTCTACGTGTACATTTAAATTACATTATTTGTTATGTGGCAATTTCATTTAAGTTTGGGTGTTGAGTCTTGTATCATCTTTACATAATATAAAATAGTCTCTTTTATTGTTGTACGCTTAGATCTTATAAACTAAGCAACAGACTTTAATGCGGTTTTCACCAATAGAGAGAGTAATTCAAGAAGAAGGTTTATGTGTTATAAAACATGTATATTTTAGTAAAGGAAATGACAGATTTTCAAAGATTTGTCTTAAAAAACATTGCAAATGCCTGCTAATCCTTCCGAGATAGGCCAAAATAAAGTACTACGGAATTATATATCTTAAAAAGATTTACAAAATAATCTGTGCTAGTATATGTCCTAAGGATAACCCACAGTAATCATTTTTATCATTAAAATATTATAAAAAAAATTTGGTTTATTTACAAAACTATTTTAAACAACACATTATTATTATTTATCCAATTAAATACGTTAGATACTTGTGAATTCAATGTAGATCAAAATTGCTCTTTACAGCATGTCATTAAAATAAATATTATAGAAGATATTAGAAGTTTAAAATGTAGGGGCAAAGCAGCAGCGACGGGCAGTACATCCATCGAGGGTGGCAGTACTGCGATGGATGTACTGGATGTACTGCCCGATTGTGGATTGTCGATGGATGTACTGCCCGATTGTGTCTTTTAAAAATTTCAAAAAAAAATTTGGTTTATTTACAAAGCTATTTTAAACAATACATTATATCTTGGATATGTTGTACATTTAATTTTGTTTAAAATTGCTCCAATGAATTACTCCACTTAGTAGCATTCATAGTATCTATATTGCACCTGTGCAAAGCCAGGGCGGATCGCGAATAACATTATCGAAGATATTTTATAGATTTAGTTGGTAAACTTATCATAAAAATGTTCAGTCAAAATTGACAGATAGTTGTGCAATATGCATAAACCTGGCAAAACGCTATTTGTAAAATTGGACCTATATCATCAACCAACAGCTTGCAACCCATAGATCTTGCATTGTTTGATATGTGATGTTAGTATAACATTAGAACACAATATTAATATTTTTGGAGGTGAACTGTTACCCAGTTCCTCTATTTATTTAGAGTAAATATTTTTTGTTTTAATCATTTGTTGTTATAGTTCCTTAGAATTTTTTTAAAGTAAATCACCTCTATCCCGATCACGTCTATCACTTCTTTCTCTACTTAAACGTGATGCCTTTTCAGGTGCTTCAACATTCATCACTTGTTTTTCTGATCCATCATTAGTTTGTTCCTCAACAACTGCAACTATGTTCCCTTGGGGGTCCGATTGCACAGGGCCTATAAGGGGTCCCGGCGGTAAATGATTTACAGGTCCATCAACTTGAGTCATTGATACAGCTATTTGATTCATCGATGGTGCAATTTGATTCATCGGACCTACTTGATTTACTACAGGTGGTCCTATCTGGTTCATGTGTTGACCGATTTGATTCATGTCACCTATCACATTATAAGGCTGAACAAGAGACGGTGTCATACTTGGCACCAAATTTGGCATAACTCCAGTCATGGCTATAATATTTGGCATTGAAAAATGCTCATTTCCCCACGAATTCATTTTAATATTTTAAGCTCATTTATCATTAAGCAGTTAAGCACTCGGCAAAACAGTTCAAAATATTTTAGATTCGTTACAGATGTATTCAATAGAACAGTAATGTCAATTACAGTCAATTATGTCAAATATAACATGAAAATTACACAAACAGTAGTGCAGCGCTAGAGACTAAAGAGTACAGGTAATTAGTAGGTATTAAAAAGTATTCAAAATGTGAAAAACCAATTCCACCTATGGATTTGAGTTTAAAAAAATGGACTGGAATGGATAAATTTTTGGACCATTTTTTTTACTCCTTCCACTCTTATTCGTAAATCATACAAGATATTAGAGGTTTAAAATGAGGGGGGCTCAACGATCGTCGAGCCGTACGTCCGTCCCGAGAGGCAGCGCCCGGCGGGCCTGTAATTATTGTATTTAAAGATGTACTGCAGTATAGTCCCATTATAATAATAGTATCATAATAACAACATCAGTAGTATCTACATTTCACTCGTGCGAAGTTTGGCGGATCGCTTGTCAATGAATAGTTTAATATGATGAGCGTTTTATAATACTAAGAACTCATAAAAACTTTTTTAAAATTTGCATTTTTTGATAGAATATGCTTGCTTAATGTCATTTTAAATATTTTCAATGCTAGAGAATACGAGATTTTTAGTTGTTTGTTGTTTTTCAAGAATTTTTGTTACTTATTTTTTGAATGTGCGCCAAGATTTTTTTTTTTTGGCTGGCAGCCCTGATATGGTATTATTATTGTTCTGTGCTCCTATGTCAGTGCGATTAAATAAATATTAGATAGATTTCATAATTTATTTTGGTTAATATTACATTCCAAGACCACTACAAATATTTTATGAATGTGAAATTTCACAATGTGGTAAGACAGTATCGTATAATATTATATCAAAAAGCTATAATGTCATAAATTCGTTTAAAATTGTCTTTAATGTCGGTGTTTCAGTTCGGAATCTGTACCAAAAGACTTTGAAAAGACAACAGAGGTTTTGCCTTTTAATAAATATGGGTTATCAACAGTGGAAGAGTATAGAAAGGCTGAAGAAGACCTTCTTAATCAAGAGTGGTTAAAGAAGGCTGGTTTGACAAATGAAGAAATAAAATTGTATCAAGAAAATGAGGCGGGGCTTTTGGATCAACGGAATAAGATAGAGTCCGGAGCATTAAAGAATAAATTAGAGGCAATCTATCAAAAAATTAATAATTTGCACTTTGAAACAAAAAGGTAAGTTAGTTATTCTGCCTTGATGATTGTATTCAATCTAGAATTGTAATCCTTTCGGTATAAAGGTGGACTACAACTGGAACTAGCTTTTTCGTTACTATTAATAAGAATTACGTTTAATAAAAGGTTTATTCAATATAATTCTAATTAATAGGGTTTGCGAATTCATTAAGTGTAATGCAATTTAAAAAAAAAAGGGAATTCTTGCTTTTCTTTTCTCATATTATTGACCTTTTTCCTGTACATCTTCAGATGTAAATTTTAAGGTAATTTAGTTATAGAAAGAGTATATTACTTTGATTAATTGCATCTATCTTCTAAAAACTATTGTATAAGTACTAACTATAACAAAAACTGTGTTACACAACTTGTCCAAATAGTTCCAGTACATGAGTCACTGTTATTACATTGTCTGTAAAATCTATATTATTTACACCTTTCTTATTACTCAAACCATACCCAATAAGTATGTAGACATTCCAAACTGGTGCTGTCTGAAGTCTCACCATGACTTGCAGACTGATCAGTCTTCGGAGACTAGATATCCGAATAGTTGCAGGAACCATAACAGGACACCTAAACCTACAACTATTCATCATTAATGCGATGGACAGTCCCTTTTGTAGAGGATGCCTGAAAGTAGAAGAAACGGCCACCCACGTAATCCTGTAATGGGCCCTGGGTATGTACCATACCTGGTACAAAATTGCTCCTAGAAGCCTGTGAATGCCCCAGCAGGCTTCTGCGCTGGTTGGCTTACCTAGCCAACCTCTTCTAGACGCATAAAGGACAACTCTTGAGTCTATATGCGGAAATCAGAGCCCACAGCCAATACCAATTCCAATACCCAATAAATATTATAAACGCTCAAAGCGCAAAGATTACTTTATCTTTCTTTCTTCATCATATCAACAGCCTTTAATAGTCCACTGCTGGTCATAGGCCTCTGCTTAGAAAAGAGGTTTTGGCCTACTATACCACGCTGCCCAGACATGTTAGTATAGGGTTTGTGTCAAAATTTCCTTCTCTCCTCTCTTCCATTATATTAAACTATTCTTTGAATAGCAATCTGCCTCGGCTTCACACGGGTGAAATGTAGATACTACTAATACTACTGATGTTATTATTAACATTTTATTATTATGATAGGACTATACTACAGGACATTTTTAAAAGAATAATTAGACGGATGTACGGCTCGACGTTTGTTGGGGCCGGGTATTTTATTATTAATAATAATGATAATAATAAAATCAATGTACAATGTATCTAACGTATTTATTTCATTCATCATATCATTTAACACTAGTCTCTAGGAATATTGTTAGTAACAAATTGGACACCATGGTCTCCAATAAAGTTTATTATTATTTATACCATCGCAGACTTTTTTCTAGATCTTTTTAAGATATACAATTCTGTAGTATATTATTTTTGTCTATCTCGTAAACTTTAGCCAGTGTTTGCAATGTAAGAGCATAAAAACATGTTTTTTACAAAAAAATAAAAAAACTTTGAAATTCTCAGATTTTCTTCTCTATAATATGCATGTGTTATACATATAAACCTCTTGAATCACTCTCTGTATTGGTGAAAACCTGATTAAAATCTGCTGAATTGCTTAGTTTAAAAGATCTAAGGATATAACAAACAAAAGCTACTTTATATTATACTATGTAAAGATATTCATTTATATGTACATTTCTATTTTTTGAGAAATAAAAATTCAGAATAATTTTCAAAATCGATTCAGTCTGAATGAAAAAGGAATGTTTTGATTTTTGTTGAAAAAATTTAACTTACAGTCAAAAGTGCCAATAATTGGTGACTTTGCCCTGGTTATTATATTGATTAAGAACTGTTACCGTTTTTTCTATATTTGATTGTGCAATCAATCTGCAATGTTGACCACCTAATATTGACAGTCCATATTCGTTTATAATTAATTTGTTTAGCGTGTTTGTAGGTCCATTTTTTTATTTCGATTTTTATATATCTTCTTTCCATTTTACATGATAGTTAGTTATGTGGTGTATCCTGTGTTACAGTGATTGTAATAACCGGCAAAGTGCTGATCAAAATGCAACTGGATCTGGCAATCACACAGAAAAATGTCCACAACAGTCAATCCAATTTTATCCCGAAGGACATCCAATGAATGAGTTGAAAGAGCTGGAACAAAGTCTATTCGGACATCTTAAAACTGAGATCATGCCTATTACAAAAAGACGAAAAATACTTAGACGGTTAGAGCGAAAGAAAGAGAGACTGCTAGCAAGTGAGAGAGAAAGAGATTATGGCATTTCTCCAAGTACATCAGGAGTAGATAGACCCGGCAGCTTGTGGGATGTAAAACAAGTAGCTCCAAGATTAAAACCTCATACAGTAACAAGCCGTGACCATGATGAAAACTGTGTTATTGGTCCAAAACAAAGGACAATGTACACAGTTAGGGATAAAAAAATAGTAAGACTGGAGCCTGTGCAGGCGCAGCGCCAGGAGTACCGTGCAGTTGATATTGTGGTGCCAGTAAATGCTGCTGAAACTCAATTATTGGAAGGAACCAAGATGTGTTTAGATGACATCAAAAAGATTGATAGGTTCAAAGATTATGAGCCTGGAATACCTTCAAAGGTGAGGTTTTGTCTAGAAAATTGTGTAAAACCTAATAATATATTCAATCAACATTATAGACTAACATTGTATAACTTTAAATACATTTTAAAGAGAATAACAAAAAAAGTAGTAATAAAATTTAAAACTACCCAACTCATTATAAAAATATCAAGTACTTCACAGTTCACAAGAAACTGTTAATTATTCCATAGGTTAATTTTTTTTTTTTTAATTTTAGGTATTATATCTAAAAAACATTGCACCAACAGTGACACAGGAACAATTATCACTGCTGTTTAACCAATTTGTCTTAGCTAACGGTGGCCCAGTGGACCTTCGATTAATGTCAGGTCACATGAGGGGACAAGCTTTTGCTGCCTTTCAACGTGAGTAAAATTACATCTTCTTGCATTGTATAATCGAATAATTTACTAATTTAAAAAATGTTTACATATAAATATTTATAATAGTATTCTCATATAATGTACTATTTGGATAAAACATAAAATTCTGACAAATAATTTTATATCTTAAAATAAAAATCATGGAGAAAGACTAAACTTGCCACTAGAATGTTTAATGTATGGCTTTTTATATAATAATTGATCGCCTATGAAACATGTTGTATTTAAACCTTTTAATGACTTCATTTGTAATCTTAATAGAAGATACATTGAGGCCTGTATTCCAGAAGTTGGAAGAAGCGCAATGCATCTACATTTTGTCCACGTTTTGTGGCTTGTTTAGTTTTCTATTAGTGACTAACTATTGCTAACCGGACTTTGATTTGTGCTTCTGATAGTTGAAGATGATTACCTATACGAACTAGGAATATGTTCATATTTTGATTTCTGACGTACCTAGACTGCCAATGCGTAACCGCAAAGGCTTGTGAATGAAAACATAGCAAGCTATACCGGCCGTCGAGTGCCGAATATTATTGTGTTGGACGGAGCCTATCGACGAATTAAGAGAGTCCCGCTTTTGTTTCAAGGCGACGATCTAATCTGAGTAGATCACATTTCCTGTAGATGATGAAGAAGACAAAGAGGTAGTTCAACGATTAAAGGTCATAGCTCATAACACCCACCCGACCAGCACCACCTCGACTCGGTGTTCACTCGTTGTCGACGGGTGGACCGTGGTTGTAAGCCAGAAAACCATACGACAGGCACGTTCGATGCATTGTCATCGTTAATAAGCCGTGGTAACCAAGTGGTCTACTGGCAGTCCGCACGTGGTCAACCCACGGGCGAGGCGTTCCGGAGTTGATGTAGTGAGCGTTTACCCATATACTATGGGTAAAACTTCATACAAAAAATACTAACTACTCGAGCCTAGGCGGTGCTGGTAGGGTGCCGTGGCGCTCTAGTGAGCTGGGACCTTAATTGTCTAATACCGCCAACTGGACAAATAATTCTATGGATAGAGAATATTATTAAACAATTTAATTTTGCATTGATTTTTGTTTTCAGATGAGGACTTGGCCATTCAAGCATTGGAAGAGATCAATGGCACTATTCTGAGTGGGCGGCCGGTAATCGCAGAGTTTGGCCGCAACACTAACCGTATACAAGACAATGATAATAGATAAGCACTATACATTTTATAAAGTTGCACTAATTTATTATTGTTCAAATGCACAATTAGAATTTTGTGTCTGTATCCATAGAATAGTCAAATGGAGATTTCAAAGCTGACCTCTGGACAGTTTATATTATTGTAATAATATAATTGCCATCCGTAGGAGTTCTACATCACAATAGTTATTTGTCTATAAGTCACTAGACTCGTTTTGATCTAAAATAAAATTATTTCACTTTCATTCATGATTTGCTCACAACTAAGTGTTTTCTTCTTACAGCTTGTAGCTATATTATGAACATTATTGATGTTATTGTGCTACAAATATTTTATGGTGAACATATATGTATGTTTTTTAATGTCTAGGATTAAGATAGTCATTTGGTGCAATATCATTGTATTAGTATTTCTTGAAATAAAATAAAAACATTAGTAAACAGAACTTTATTTTTTAATTATGTGTAAGATTAACATATGCACTAATGTAATAATGAATTATTTAATGAAAATTATATCTTAGATGTCGCAAAATTGTTTTATTTAAACTAATATCCATATACTGATTTTAGAAATAAACGAGATATAACTGAGGCATAACATTGAAACATGACGTTTGCCTCAGTTTTAATGTACTACTTTTAATCAGCTATGTAACCATCGTATTTCAACTAATCTTATAAGATCATTGCCATAATACAAAGCAAATAAGCAAGCTTTTATTCCATCTAGTGTTTCTAAAATTTTCACTGCCTTCAATATTAAAATTATTAAATAAACGTTCATTTCACGACTTACATTTTCTTAAAACTAGAGTTATAACTATCAGGAAACCAACTTCACTCAAGAGTGGGTTTAGGTCTCCCTCTGCTCTAATCATTGTCGCCATATGTCTCTGAGGATCTTACGTATACATAAAATGTAAAATCACTAATATATGTACATCACCAATTAACAAAGAAATGTACATGGACAATGCCTAATATTGATAGTTTATTTAATCGGCCACTGTGATTATTTATTTCATTTAACCAAATACGCGTTGGCCTAACCACCTTACTAATACTTCAGTGATACAATGCTTCGAATTTATACAATATAAAACGAAAAAATCCCTAAATTGCCCTTTTCTGCATATTTTTTTTGGATTATACTAGAAGACAATAGTGCCTATTAATATTTTAACAATTACAGTTTATACAAAAGTGATAAGGAACGACTATTAGCAGTCCGTATCTTGGCATCTAAAAATATAATTATAGTTCTATGATTATCATCTAAGCATTCAATCTTTATGTAAAACATAGATATGAATTAAGCACATATCACACTAATATCAATGCACTAAAGTTTTTAAGTCACTGAGGGTAGTTGTCATTTAAAACGCGAAATTAACTGCCGTTACATTACCACCAATCCTATTATTCCATAACAGTCAAACAAAAGGGTAAACCATCCAAAGAGTGACCTTACATTCCTGTTAATGAACACCATTAGGTACAATGTTTCTGGTCAGTTGCGTATTGCGATCATGTTATACATGATTTCCCCTCACTGTTGGTCCTTCGATGAGGACTTGCGCCGTCGTTTGACGACGCGTTTTGGTGAAGATCATTCGTTCTCTTTTTTCGGTTGTGAATCTTCCTCTGTAACAATTATTCACTCCTCTGTAGCAGTTTCAAATAAATGTAGTGATTTCAATACATCCTAAGATAGTTAGATAAACTTAAATTATTGAATACAAAGGGAGCATGCATGGATCAAGTTATCGTTTTAGTTAAGTTTTGTTGATGATCCCGACACAAGTTGGTGAAGTGATATGCATATCGATGTTATGAATTGATCTTTAGGTGTATTAAAGGAGTGTGGAGGATGCAGATAAAGCTACACACATCAGATTGTTAGATAAAACGCACAAGATTTTGTATTGTCCACAAAGCATGCGATATTAGTGCGTGTGCTCACGTTTGACGTCGTGATGTGCGGCGTGTGGCGGCGCGTGGTGCGGGTGCGCGTAGTGGTCGGGCGCGTGCGCGTGCGGGGGCGGCGCGGGCGGGGCTTGCGCGCCCGGCGCCGCGCCCGCGTAGTAGTGCGCGTAGCCGCTACCGAACCCGCCCCCGTACCCACCGTAGTACCGTCCGCCGTAGCCGCCACCGTAAGCGCCCACTGCGCACACCACGCGTTAGGCAGTGGTAGGAGTCACACATTTCGACAAGAAAGCTTACTACATAATTGTATTGAAAAAATTGTCTTCGAGTCTATGCTCCATAGAGATATAGGGGGACTATATTGTTTCGGATTATACATTTATACTTAAGTAAGATGTGGCTACCAAACGCGTAAACTGACAACTATGTTAGATTTATAAACGTTTATTTTATAAAAAACTAATGGAATGGAATGCCTGTTTTATGTGACTTATGAATAGAACCAATGTGAAGCCCCGTGATAATCCAGAAAATATCAATAAAAATGGTACCGGTGAACAAAAATTTGTGTAACTTAATCAGTTGTAAGAAAGTTCAAAGCAATTTTCCATCACGGGCATATATATAACCTTCCCGTGTACGCTGTTTGTAACTATATTTTATGCACAACTAAAAAGACAAGCTATTCTCACATGTTGTTCTTTTAACTAAAGAATGTGTTGTTGTAGGTTTTTGAGTGTTTTTTTTAAATTTCATATAAGACACAAATTACCCTTATTATTATTTATACCCATTTTAGTTACAGAAGAAGCATGTATAATATTATTGTGCTAAAGTTAACCCACGTCCGTTGTGTAACGTATACAAAAGTGTATTGCTGAGCCCCTGATATAAAGCTATCGGCGGTATCGGCCACATTATGGTAATCAATAAGTTGAGAATATGTTTAAAGAGAGAGTATTTGCGTTATCCCTTTTGTTTATGATATAGAAGGTCAGCAAGTATATTGTGATGACTATTGCAGCCCATGGCTCCCATTTCCATTGCCGGCCTTGAAGACGGGAGTACGCTCTTTTCTTTGGTCGCTTCGGAATACCACAGGTTTGAACATTGATGACATTTGACTTATACTAAGCCTCTATGTCGGCCGATATATCTGCTGACTGCTGCTCGTAACTTATTGTTCGCATTCTATATAGTATGTAACACAACCGAAGCTTGTGAAATTCGAGCGTGTAACCTACTTGGAATACCGTGTCAACTTCTGGCAAAATGTAATACCGATATGATTTTTCTAAAAAAACAGCAAGACTTATTTCGGGATAGCTATTTAGCAGAACGTAAACGCGATGTATACGGCATTTCCGGAACCACATGTAGGGTATCTTTTAATCCTAGAAAATATGTAAAGACGTATATGGTAGAGTAGAGAAGCTCTTGCTTCTTTACTAAAGCGAATAGACAAATAAAGTGAAGAACGCAACAAATGGTATAGAATAAAGATGTTCACCAGTACATAAACAAAGCGAATAGACTGTGGAATTGACTGCAAAATAGCTACGGAAGTAATAATTTTGGAGTCAATTCCATCCCAATAACTGTTTATTTGAATCCCTGATGATGTTTTCTATTTATTTACAATTTGGGTTAGTTAAGTGAAATTTATGAAGCTTAGTGACAATGTAGGTTTAAAGCAAGTGTTTCAAAATTTCTGCTCCAACTTATATATGCATTGTTACGGAAAAAGCTCACTTAAACATGTTGGTCGATGATTGAAAATCTTTGTTTTTTTTATTTATTTAAAAAGACAACTTCAGAACTTTAGAACTAAAAAAATTAACCACACATAATTGTTGTGATCCACAAATTGTCGTCCGTTGTGGGGATCGGACCCACAATACTCAGCGTAGTAGTAAGCGGCGTGGCGACCGCTTAAACCACTACGCCATCCGTGCATTCGTACTGATTAAGTCTCATTTTAGTACGTGTCTCTAAGAAATGTATAGTACTTTATCATAAATCAAATTTCTTTTATTCTTTGTAAAACTTCGAATCTTAATCATTATGATGATATTTGACATATCAGTGAGAGCAAATATTTTGATAGGCTTATGTTATATATACCCTTAGTGAATCGTTTTACCTGGCGGTGGCGGAGGGCCTCCATGCGGTGGGCCTGGATGCGCAGGCGCGTTAGGATTCACTGCCATCATCATAGCTGTAGACATTTTTAATTTGGAAAGAATGAGTATGTACCTATATTATTGTTTGTATATTATGTTTCTGGTATCATAAACTAGAAGCAAGACAACATGCCAGGTAAACGAGATACCCCTTAGAGTATTGAGGTATAATCAATACATACATTTGATTGTTGAGTTAGGTCAGATGCACTCTACGAGCTTTCCGCCGGGTGACAAAACGATACAAATTTTGAAGCTTGAGGCCGCTGTTGCGGTTCTGTCGCTGTCGTGAAGTGCATGCAGTACTAAGGGATACTATGTTAAAACGCTGTGACGCGACATTATGGCATCGGTTTTGTGCCGTCAGGCTTAAAACTCAGTGCGCGTTTGTCTTCGATTTAAACTATATCTTAAATAATAACCTATTTATTACAGGAAATTTGTGTAGTCACTTCAGTGTCTAAGTTGCCTAATATGTGCTAATTAATAAAATTAAAATACTTAGTACTTAATAGTTATAATTATATGATTATTTTGATTCATTGTTTTGTACTTCGAGGCTTTCAAGTGGCAAGTTCCATAGAAATATATGCAAAAAAAAATACTAACGATGATGCGGTGGTGACGTGATCTGTGGTTGATGAGCCGGTGGACCTTGTCCGAGGATCGGGGCCCCGGGAGTTGGGCCTTCTTTGATCTCCGATTTCACCACGGGCTTCTCTTCCTTACGCTCGCCTTGTGCCAAAAGTATTATCATGAAAATATGTGAATCGTAAATTTAATATTTTATCAGTAACAGTCAGATCCTGAACGTTTACCAGTGATTATTAAAAATATTTTACGAAATTCCATTCGGTTTTTACGTGATTTTAATGCTTGTTAATATTCGCTTGTAACGACAGCCCATTAAATACAATCTTATAAATAAACATACATTTACAGTGATGTTATCATGCCTTCTCTGTCTTGAAGTGCTCATGGACACTCTTTAATCTTCACTTTTATCAGAAATCTAGTGTGCCCTATGCTACCTTACCTTCATTATCTTGTCCATTATGGTTAGTCACGTTATCTTCCATCTCCCTTTCCTTATGCTCCGGCTCGGTTTTCAGCTCAGTAGTAACACTTTCAGTTTTAACTTCTGTCGTCGAAACTTTGTCTACTTGCGTCGGTAGATTTGGTCCATTGGCCTCAGACTTCAGTTGTCCTTGGTCTTGATCCATAGGCTTTTTAAAAGTAGAACAAGTTTATGTTAAATATTATCTTATGACTCGTTTTTTTTAAATTAGGGCAACCCAACGTCAAGCCTCTTTAATACCATTAAAGTGGCTAGAGGAGGTTTTCTATATTATGGGTTAATACATTTTCCCAATACTAGATGATTAAGAACTATGGCGATGGTAGTCATGGGCAAGAACATAAGCTTTTACATGATGTCGCGTGTTCGCATAATTGTGTAGAGATATGGCAATCACGTCGGATTATTGATTATCATTTTTGTATTATGATTAATGTATTACATAATTAGTACCTCGTCTTTTCTCTCAGTGGCGTTGAGCTGTGCAAGCGGTTGCGTAGCGGGGTTGATTCCCCGTCGCATTTGTTCCATTGCACGCTCGACCATCCGCTGGAATGTCTCTTCGTCCACAGCAGGTTTGCAGTGCTAAACGATTTTATTTAACTTTAAATCTTGCAGTATTCATACTTGAACAGTACAATATAGTTTACATACTTCAGAAACTTGATTTGTCTTGACAGGTATATAGTTTTAAATAAGGTAATTGGTCAATTAAAAAATTGTTTAGTCTTGACAGTTGTCAAGAAAAAACAAATTTTCTTTACATAAAACCAATAAGTTTGAACTTGACAAATCATTTACTTCTAATGGGAAGTAACAAATAATATAAATCACATTCCTACTTGAGAATTAAATTTTATTTTCTACAGTCCTTACCTTCTTAAGCTCTTCTTGGAATACTTCGCTGCTCTCAATGAACTTGCGCTTTTTAGCTTCGAATTTCTCTTCAATTTGTTGCAGCTCATCTTCAAGCTTCTTTTGATGCATTGTTAGAGACTGGACTTGCTTCTTGAGGATCTAGAAGTTCAAAATTTATAGTTAGCAGTAGAAGCTATTAGATTGAGAGGTGTGACTTGTGCCTTTATGAGACAATTGTGTGTGTGTGTGTTTGTGTGTGTGTGTGTGTGATAAAGAGTCCATTAAATGGTTTCAAATTCCACCTACCGTGAAAGACGAGGTAGATTTGACGAGGTTGAATAATATTTTAGAAAGAAATAATGGTACTATAGATGATTTTACCATTATGTATTATATTATTGGCGGCCTGTATAGGTCTAATGGTTGGCGACCTATTAAGTCAGAGGTTGTGGGTTCAATTCCCACCCAGGACAAATAATTGTGTTATGAGCATGATTATTTGTTCTGTCTCTAGGTGTACTTCATCTATAATATGTATTTAGAAATATATAAGTATGTTTATCAGCAGTCTGGTTACTATAAATACAGGCTCTGCCTAGTTTGAATCAGACTGCCGTGTGTAAGATGTGTGAAGTTACTGTATTTGTATTTATACATGTATTATTTATCTGATACACAACAACATCTAGTTTTAAACTAAGCGGAGTTTGTACTTTGAAAGCTAGATTGACTGATAGAATACTTATATACTTTTTTTGTAAATACATATTATACATAGAAGACTCCCAAACTCCGAAACAACTATTTGCAGATCATACAAACATTGTGGCCCGACCCTGGCATCGAACCCGAGACCTCAGCACAGCAGTCGCATACGATACCACTTCACCTATATTATTACCTGCATCCTCGCCGTGGTAACAACGGACCTTACGTCCGGCACAACGGTGTCAGAAAATATTTCGTTGATCAGCCGGTGGTTGCGCAAATATCGCGCGTATGCTACGTGCTTTACTGATAATCCTTCATCTTGGTCTGAAAAATAAAAAAGTTCGATTTTATTTTGTTTATGGAGCATTTTTATGTTTTTAATCAACTTAAACAAGGAGCTTTTAGTTATGAGTATATATTCTTAAGTGTTCAGATTTTATCCTCATTTTATAATAAAAAAAGAAAAACGAAAATAACAAAAAAAATATTATATACACAATACCTTCTTCATCCTCAGCAGGCTGTATATCAATCCTACGATCTTGCTGCTGCTGTTCTTTCTGTGAGCTACCCTTTTTACTGGAACTCTCTTCTTCCAGATTGCCTACTGCTGACACAAGATATGAGTTACAGACTGCACCATATTTTACATCACCATTGAGTTTAGTAAAAAGCAACATATAGATGAAAAATGGATGAGTACTGAGTTTGAGAACATGGCATTAGAACACAATAGATAACATACATAAGTATAGATTCAATTAGATATTGCAATTAAAAGCTGTATACATTTAGGCAAATCATTTTTTTTATTTTTTGGTATTGTCTGTTTAATTTTCTAATATGTTAAAAGATACATTATTCAACCAGCGTTAATGATAATACATATTTTTGAAATTAGAAATAATTGCACACATTTAAATAATACCAGCACTAAAAATTACAAAGTAAAACTTAGTGCTAATTGATGACCAATACATATATTGCTGTTTATTTTTTTTATTTATAGCACAACAATTAAATTAATTATACGCATGCATCCTCACCGTGTCCCTTACCTACAGCTTTATTTTTCGCGGCAATATACGCGAGATAAGCTGGGGAATTGTGGTACGTCTTCAAGGACTTTTCATACTCCAACTGAATTCATAGAAGACAGGTGTACCCGGTGCGTGCAATATATGAGGTGACGTGCATGTGGGAGGACAAAATTAGCGTTTAGTGCGTGTTAGTCACTGTATGCGCGGCTTTGGAATTGGGTGGACGTTTTTTTTTTATTGGAGTTGATACCGGTTCAGTAGTGAAAGACATACATTTTGTTGTAAGAAGAGTAGTAAAAATAACACACAATGATTTTCATTTTGTATAAAACAACACACATGTTTGTCAAAGCTGTGTTTTTAGGGTAAAACATTTACACACAAACGTTACCTAGTTACTATTAGTACCTGATCACAAGCGGAAGAGTATTTTTATCTCAACTTATTTTAAACTTAACATGTTACTTTTTGATCTAGGAAAGGTATAAATATTCAAGATAAGATCTTTTTTAATCACAACGCGACAATTTTTAGAAAGATTTACGGGCGATGGAATTGGGGGCAAACCTATCAATCATCATATTTTCAATAAATACCCGGAAGCTAGCTCCCGACATAGCTTCTCTTTCGGTTGTAACATACACATATATTATGTATATATAAATTATGTAACGGCAAAAACTAGTGTGGAACCAACATTGTTTAATAATATAAGGAGTTAAAGTATAAAATTACCGATGTATAGTAATAGATACTTTGAATTGACATAAAACCTTCCCCTTCTACAAGATACCTATGAGGTTTATCTTTTAAAAAATGTGCAATATTCAATTTTCGACTTTCAATTGTTTTTTGTTTTATTCAGCTTAGACGTGAAAGATGAATACTTCGAAAATCCGAGTCATTTTTGAATACGAGTTTCCACGCGGAACTAACGCGGCAGAAACGGCTCGCATTATCAACTCTACGTTTGGAGAGAAGACTGTTAATGAACGCACCATGCGTTTTTGGTTTGAACACTTTCGTAATGGAAACTTCGACTTGAAGAACCAACCACGTGGAAGACCGCCCACACAGGTGAATAACGCTGAATTGTAGGAATTGGTTGAAGCCGATCCGACTCAAACTACCCAGGAATCAGCGGCATAGTTTAACGTTACCCTAGCTACAATATTGACTCATGTACATAAAATCAATAAGATAAAAAGAATATAAAAAATGGGTGCCTCATGATTTGATTGATATGCAGAAAGAAATGTGTGTTGAAACTTGTGATGCCTAAACGAAAAGTGAATTGTAACCGTACAGCAAAGCTTATCAATAAAAAGGTAATGGTAACTTTTGGAGGTCTCTTCATGGTGTTATTCACTATAGCTTTCTCAGGTCTGGTTAGGCAATAACAGCAGATGTTGATGTTTACTGAGCCGAACTTCGAACAATGATGGCGAAACTGGCAGTGAAACAGCCCCGACTCGTGAATCGATCTTCACCATTATTGTTCCATGATAATACAAGACTCACGCTGCACGAGAAACCGTTGTAACTCTAGAAGAGCTGCAGTTAGAAACCATACGTCATCCTCCGTACTGGCCAGACCTTGCTCCAACGGACTAACATTTTTTTCGTGATTTGGACAATTTCTTTCCAGGAGGCAGTACAAAATACTTTCACACAGTTTGTCGAATTTAGATCCCCAGAGTTCTATCGTAAAGGCATTAATGAACTTCTGTTTAGGTAGCAGCAATGTATAGATAATGAGGGTAAATATTTTGATGAAATAAATATGTTACATCTTAGAAAAAACGAGTTAAAATTTTTCAGTACAAATCGCAATTAAATACTTTAACCCCCTAACACGGAGTAACATAACACGTAACACAACGACGATAACACGTAACGCGACGACCGGATGGCGTGGTGGTTTGTGTAACGGACTGCTATTCCAAAGGTCGCGGGTTCGATTCCCGCTCAAGTCAAACGTTTGTGTGCATGAACATTTAATGTTTGATTTGGTCTAGGTGTTTCTATGTATAATATGTATGTATTTAAAAAAAAAAAGTATATATGTATTTATATCAGTTGTCTAGTACCCATAGCACAAGCTCTGCTTAGTTTGGGACTAGATGGCGTCGTGTGAATGTGGTAAAAAAAAAAAAAAAAAAAAAAAGTAATCTCCATCAGCCTCAATACAAAAATTCCATGCGTCTAAACTAGTTTTCGAAACACAACGTAACATGGAGGAGCTTTACTAGTTTTGTGGAGGGTTTAGATGTTTACATGTGTTAAACTCTTTCCAAATGAAAATCATTGATGAATTTAATAGATAAGAATAAGGATGAAAAATTCAAATGCATTGAATCTATAGTATGACAATGCATAATATTTGTGTGTTGATCTACAGTGAATGAATTAGGAAAGTCACAAAATGCAGTCAAAACGCTTCCAAACCAGTCTCAAATCAAAAAAATATTAAAATAACCTTCTGCCGGGATAGGGCTTTGCAACATCAATTGACTCATTGCGAGATGTAGATGATGATGGTGTATTCAGTGTGGTTTCATCATACAATGTCATAGCATTCAATACATGTCCTTGATTCCCATGCTTGTTTCTAAACTCTTGCTTATTTTGTATCAAAGATACAGTTTTAGAGGACTAATAATAAAGCATGAACATATTTCGTTATATATACGAGAGGTTAGATTTTTCTGAATAGATTTTTAGAAGAGGACTCACAAATGTTGCGTGCTATAAGACCTTTTAGACGCATTTTTATAATAACTAAAACATTCGCTATTTGAAGAGTTTTTAACTGGCAGGCATGGGATCAAGCAGGTAATGAGCAAAAGTAAGACATGTTTGGTGTCTTTTAAAAAAAAGAATCTATCAAAATACAATTTGGATCATTTCTTTCTTAACCGATTAAAAATCTTAAAATAGGAGGATTTAAGCATAAAATATAGCAAGAGCCTACAACACCTAAACCCTTAGTTAAATAAAGCCATGTTGTGGTGGTGTGGATTATACACAAATTGTACCCAATGCGAAGGGTATAGGGTTCTATTGTACCTCTAGACTTGTGGGCCAGCCATTGTAAATATGCAGGCGACGATTGGTAAGCTTTCAACATTTCTGTGTACTGCGCCTGAATGAAAAACTTTTGTCATCTTTATGGCTTTTAAACCTTTGGTTGGTTTTGAAATACCATTTAAAAAGTGTGTGGTTCCTTTTAAATTATAGTATAGGCCCTGAATGTATGTTACCTTTGTCTATGGATGCTTAGAATATTCTAACATAAAACCAATGACAAATTGCTTAACAAAGGAATTGAACCTAAGTCCTAAATAAGGTTAAAAGCAAAGAAAAGCTTGAATTAAATTTACCATCTAAATATACCTACCCGTAATTTTTTCATGGCCTGTTTCCATTTTATTTAGGGTGTATTGTATATTATTAAAAATCTGATAATAATTCAGTGTTACTATTTTAATATTGCATCTGTCATATTACTTGAACTGTAGTGACAGGGTTCAGATTCAGACTTAAAATTACAGGTAATACATGCAGGTAACTCTACACTTAGACTATTGCTTAGATTCTACAATTCATATATTTGAGGAATATCCTTTTTCTTTAAATGTTTACATTCCTTGCATACATTTCCTGTAAGTGTCAACTCAATGCAACAATAGAAGCCTATTATTACCCCTAATTCATAGTTTACTTTATCTCTGCCCAACCTTTCGTATATACTTATGCATATAAATTATCAAAATAACAAATAGAAATGTATTTTGTACCTTTTCAGCTTCATACTCATCAACATAAACAGCCTTGTCTGCCTCAGGAAGGTCACGCCATCTGCCTCCAATGATTCTTCCAATTTCCCCACAGCTTTAGATCTGGATGTGCTGCCTTTACAGAGTCCCAGACACGACGGGAGTATCTCATGTAGGGCATTAAAGGCTTTTCTGGTGGTTTCGGTGGTTTCGGCAGACCAGCACCCTGAATTTTTTTTTGTTACTATATTATATAGTTAGGACTAGATAGTGTGTAAAAAGAAACATATTTTTTTCCTAAATTATTAGACAATAGACACTGGAAATCAAGAAAATGAAAATTTTCTTCGGATGGATTAGTAACAAGTTTTTTAATGTTACTGACAGAATAAACTTAATATCAATTACATTTATACTAAAAACTATAACAAACCAAAGTAAAATAACTCTACAACTACTACTACTAACACTAATATAAAATTATTGAAGACTAGCTGAGTTACCCGCGGTTGTTGTTATAACCGCGGGCAAAGCCGCGTGGCGAAGCTAGTCTAAAAAAGTAGCCTAAGTTACTCCTTATGTCATCAGCTATCTGCCAGAAAGTCCCGTGGAAATCGGTCTAGCAGTTCCAGAGATTAACCGGAACAAACAGACAGCCAGACAAAAATTGGTTATTTTAATATTACAAACAGACACTCAAATTTTATTTATTTGTATAGAAAGAAAGAAAGAGAGCAAAATAAAACAATTTATTTTTAGCAATTACACTTTTACATGCAAGTAGGTATAAAAAAATATTACCGCAGGGTAACGACTCACCACCCCAGCACCTTTGCCGATCTTCTGAGGCTGAAATCCAGGATGTGAATGCACAGTTGAAACGAAGGGACTTGTCTTATCATCTTTGGCGGTCTGGCCGGATTGGGCACCTCCCGCACCAGAAGCAGTTCGCCGCGCGCCCTCTGCACCGAAACGTTGCTGGGGACTCTGCGGCCACCCGTAACCTCCCGGGTGGCCCAGCGAAGGACCACCTTGGTATTGCGGGTGGTACTGGTATTGGTTATGATGCGGCGGCGGTGCATTCATACCGCCTTCAAGCAATGCAGCAGGGCGGCAATACAATGAAAGAAAAAAAACAAAAAGCATAAGGGAAGGATAGGATTGGGTGGGAAAAAACAAAAGAAATAATCAAATATGCACAACATCTAAAAATAAAAATTAAATGTTAAGTGAAAGTTAATAGTGTGAGTGAGCAATATTAGCAAGTTGTATTTAGTAGGCTTAATTAGCGTACAATCAAGAATATAAAAAAGAGATTGTGAGAAAGACGATGGTCTGTGATGTGGAAACAAGGGAAAATTTTGGTGCAAATTACAATTTTAAAACCCCACAGAGTACCTAGTATCCAAAACAGATGAGAGTGTGAGAACAATTTTGACAAAACTAAAAAGTAAAATCTGATAGTGGCATTACCTTTCATCATACCGAAACTCATTGGGGGTCCCGCAATCATGTAGTCTGTTTCAACATAACAAAACATGAAACAAAACCAACATAAGAGTAAAATGTAAGTCTAATGGGTAAAGAATTTAACAAATTAAATAGAAATAAAAAGATTGTTACTGATGCATATACTTTCAAATAAACAAGCATAGAATGGAATCATGCTGCCAGGGGATATAACAGCAGTTAGATACCAGCATTACCAACAACAGTTCTCAGCCCTGCTAAGCTTGCAAAGGCATCGATTCGTACTTATTACTAGTTAGTATCTAACAACATTCTAGATATAATAACATTCAAATACAGAACAGTTTCAAATGCTGTGAGTATATTCAGCCAAACTGTTATCTATGCTTTGCTGTGATAAGTCCTTTTTATTCTATTATACTTATTTCTACAAAATATGCATTTGGAATACAAACGCGGATTGCTCTGAGGGCTTGGCATCGACATCGATGTGTTTTGTTTATAACTATTTGGTGCAGCCATTACTGCCCGTTGTCTGAAACGAAATATGATGTTTAATATTTACAAGATGTTACAGATTTAAGTAATGAATCTGCAAAACAATTAAATACAGTGTCTGTTTGTGATTACGAGCCCGCATGCCAGCAATGGATAATACGTTTACAATTTGTTGTCAACATTATATTCAAAATCTATTTAATAAAATAAAGTATAAACCATACCTGGACTTTCTTATGGAAAAATAGCTTACTGATATCGCCAAATACCTGAAATTAAAACCATTGAAGTAACATAAAATATAATGCAAGCGTCACTTATTTATGTCCTGTCCACTGTCCACAGATAACTACAAACAGTACAGTACACTCAATACAGTACAGTACAGGGATGTTAGATTGTATGACACAAAGTTGGTACAGATGACGCCAAAAGACTAAAAGCTGGTACTTAAAAAAAAAGAGGTACACTCACAATAACGTTATAAATAATAAATCGTTTGTTTGTACCGAAGAAATACATGATTATTAGAAAAAAAAAAATCGAACCTGATAAAAAATTAACATTAATAGTTATTATTGATATTATAAAGAATAATTATTATTCTCATTATTCATTGACGTTTTTATTAGAAGATCTTATAAATGTATATACATCATTTGAAAAAAATTAAATAAAAATCAGACGTGACTTACATTGACCGAATTTTTATATTATTTCAATAATGCGCTGCATCCATGGATTGGTAAAGTTTATCTAAAGATTCTAAAGTAAGTTACTCAATATGTCAAAAATAAATAATAAATATACATTACATAAACAGTACATTTTCAAAATAATCAATGTTGTAACTATAATGTACAGCAAGAACTTATATATTGTTAGATACGAGATTTTTTTTAAATGTACGATCAAAGTAGAAAGTTGGTATTATTGCGTACCAACACAATTTTTAGTTGGTACATAGTACAAGATCCTGAAAAATTGAACGTATACCAAGAAATAGGTACGTCCAACATCCTTGCTACAGTACTATGCTGTCATGTCAGTGTACTCCATAGAGAAAGCATAAACAGAACACGGGGTACAACTGCTTGTAAGTGGAACCAATCATGTCATCATATGATTATGATTTAAAAGTAGCAATAATTTACATCACCACTAGACACTAGATACTGAGTACACCATTGAGATGTAAGGTTTTGGTTATTGGTTAACTGCCTCGGTGGTGCAGTGGTAGCGTATGCGACTGTTGTGCTGAACTCTCGTTATAGATTCCCGGGGCGGAAATAATGTTTGTATGATCTGCAAATGCATGTTTCGGAGTTTGGGTATTTTCTATGTATAATGTGTATGTATTTACGAAAAAAAGTATTTAAATAGTCTATCAGTCAATTTAGTTTTCATTGTACAAGCTGTGCTTAGTTTGAAACGAGATGGCGTTGTGTGTCAGATGTCAAAAAATAAGTAAATAAATTGGTTTTAGTTTTAATCGTCGTAAAATTATCAAGTTAAAGCTTGAATACTAATTCTAGAGCACAAAGAGAATTGTGTATATCTTTATTAAGAAAGGAAGCAACTTTAGAGTTCCAACCTGATTATATAGAAAATAATAATATTTCGATGCACCATATTTTTATTCGATTATATTTGTAAAAATCTCTCCTCAGCTCTACATATAATCTTTAAGGTTACACCTCAAAATATCACTTAATTAAAATTTGAAGTTGGAGTAATTTATTCATTAATATTTTAATCATCCAACAACAACTAGACACAACACAGCTACTGAGCAAAGTTCATGTTTTCCAATGCATGAAAGTAAGTATAGCGATTTGTCACTACCTACTTCCACGAATGCTGAACTCATGTGATCTTAAAAGAATACATTTTTACATGCAAAAACGTACTAAACAAGTGTATGTTCTCTCTCTCTCTAGCCATTTGCAACCGCTGAGATGCATACCTCTTTCAGTTAATGCCATGTTTCTCGATCTTTCCCTGTCTTGCACCAAGAGCCTTGTTAACGGGAAACATGCCCAGCCCACTCCCACTTAAACTTTGCAAAAAACCACTGGATCACAGGTATAGATTACAAAGAGGCCTTTGATAGCATTGAAATCTGAGCAGTGGTTCAGTCCCTTCAGACCGCTGCGCTACGCTAATTTCATACAAAATATTAACAAACAAGTTAACCTATCACCAGAAACTCAACCGGTGAGGATTCAGAGGAGTTAAACTTTTACCCTGGTACCTATTGGAGGACATTTTCGAAATGTTAGATTGGGCAGATCATAGATGGCAAGGCTTGAAAATTAATCTTGACAAAACCAAGGTCATGACCAATATTTCAAACAGTAGGTATAGAAAACATCAGCATAAAAGGCACTGTCAAAGAAAGTAGACAAGTATGTGTAACTTGGCAAGGAGGTTGTTATAGGGAAAGGCAATCAGGTTAAGAAAAAGCCGAAGAAAAAGGTGGCATACATGACCAGTGTATCTTAACAGTGACCACATATGGGGCTGAGACTTGGGTTTATATCAAGGACATCCTCAACAAACTACAGGTGGACCAAAGAGCAATTGAAAGAAAAATGGGACAAACACATACAGAAAAATGGATCACACTAACATACCGTAAGAAAAATGAGAGGGAAAGACAACACAGCAAAGTGAGCAATGTCACTAAAAGTCTAGGTAATAAAATTGTAATTATACTTATACACATCTATGGAATTTGATGAACAGTGTTGTAAATAATTACTGTAAATAATAATTCCATGAGACCTCATTATTTCAGGTTATTTTGATTCGTAATTATTGTAAAATAAGAAACTGTCCTCAGCCGCAACGTGATCTCGTTAATTGTCGTGTGATACGTAATTTGTTCAAACATATCACGATATTAACTAACGTTGCGGAGACCTTTTTTTACATTTCAATAATTTTAATGACACAATTTTATTAATATTGTATTCGCATGTTTTATATTTTATCTACAATCTAATATGAACATTACAACCCTAATTAGAAAAATATATTACGGAAGTTGGCACGTAGTTTAGGTATATAGGTATAAATAGTGGTTGGTAGCCAATTTTATCAGCTGAAACGCGTTCCGCTTAGCTCCCTGCAAATGTCGATTTATGTTGTCAATGTGTATGACTGGATGACATTTTGGCGCGCTTTATTTATAAAGCAAATGCGAGTTAAATTAAATAGGGGCGTCTGTTTGTAATAGTACGGGATCCCGCTGCAAGATTGCTGTGAAGTGATGTATGATATTTATTGGTTTATACATTCGTAAACAAGTAAATGAATTGATTTTGAATATATCCAAAAATAATTAATGTATATTACTTCAATAGTTAGTTTTTAATACAGGTAGGTAGAGTAGAGAGACAGTATTATAATAATTATAGTAGAGAGACTCACAATTATCAAAAAAGCCTTCATCCGCAATAACCGCCTGTTCAAGGCCAAGATTAACACCAAAGTAAGCTCATTAAAACATACATGTTGCACTTTATGGCTGCGAAACGTAGACCGGAAGTTCCGGTCCGGAACATCAGTTGAATAGATAAAAGAACCAATCAAGAAGTCCTACTGCTACAAGTAGAACTTGTAGAAGTCCTAATGGTAAATAAAGAACGAGAATTCTGAAATGCTATTGAAAACAGAAGAGGCAATATGGTGTGCTACTTGATAAGACACGACAACTTAAAAGCTTTTTTAAAAAAACTTTTTTTAAAACAATACTGGAAGGAAAAATAGAAGGCAAAAGAACGAGAAAGTCCTATATCAACGTAAATACAGCAAGTAAAGAAGAAACTAAGCCTTTCAAGATTACTCCCGCGACAAGGGCCTGGCCTTTAAATTGAGAAAGAGGTAGAGTGAAAGTATTTTATACAAGGCAAGGGTACCGAACGTGTCTTGCTCCGTGGTACCGAATGACATAGTTTAGGTAAAAGTATACTCTTGTTCTCTTTGCCCACCTACATGAAACATTTGAACGTCAGCCTCTGATCACAGTTAGTACAACCTGCGCTCTCTGCCTGCTGTGTTGCTGATTTAAGCATAGAATAACAATTTAGAGTTATGTAAATAAAATTCGAATCACAGGTGTTATGTTATTTCAGGTCTCCCTTGGATCAACGCCGCCGAAGGACCAAACCCAAGGGAAGCCTTAGGTTTTCCTTCTACCTATCGTCCCCATTCGCATTTTTCGACCCGGCCGCAATCCTATCCTCTACCTCCAGAGGTCTTGGTTTTCCAATGTTAAAGACGAGGCACAGAGAGTAGAAAGTCAATAAATAGTATACATGTGTACAAAAGGAGGTATAAAGACGTCTTTTTGTCAGAGATCTAAGACATTCCTCTTCCCGTGTTTTAATTATAACCTTACCTATCTAGAGAAAATACAGCATATACTTTTTATATTATCTTCGTAGTAGTCTATAAAAAAAAATGGTACTCAATTGTCATAACACAGAACAGATTGTCACAATAGTAAAATAATAAGAGGTACTTTCTTCCCAAAAATATTTTTTTATAGAAATGAAAAAAATCGTTGTCTATAAAAATATACATAAGTGTATAAAGTAAGTTAACCATTATAATTTTATTAAATCATACATAAAAATGGAAAACTGATTACTGATGAGTAACACAAAGGTTGAAAAGTAAACGATGCGCTTAGTTTATGACATCCCCATATAATTAAATAAAGAGTCTAAACTGTGTACTATTAATCATAAAACCATCAAAATAATAAACGCCGTCATTATGCTCCTTTATTATTTATTAACTTTCTTTTTTCTTCTGACCCGTTGACGGAACTGATACAAAACAAGATAAAATTTCATCGTAACTCAATATGGTAAGCTGTCCAATAAAAAAACCGGTACAACAAGGTAAGGTTTGTAAAGGATGCTGTATAAATGACGGCTCCAATAAAGCAAAAGACAACTTAATGAATAAATGTTCATATGTGGGCAAAATTTTTTTCGTGGATTCAGGGGTACAAACTGCTAAAGACAGATTAAAACCAAAATGTAGAAATATATATGTTAAAAGTTGTCCACTCCAGACTATTGTAGAAGAGCCTGATAGTTTGAATAACTGTGCAAATGTTGTAGCTGTGTGTAATATAAAACAAGACGTTTTATGTAACAGTAAAAAAAATCGAAACAAACGGGTTAATGCAGATTGTGAACGGAGAAAACGGGATAGCAATAAAAAAATGTTAAAAAGAAAGTTAAAGAAAAATAATAGACTAAAAAGAAATTTAAAGAAAAAGAATAGACTAGAAGAGAAACGAAGAATGAAAATTCTGAAAAATTTAGAAAATATAGAAGCCTCTACTAACGAAATGAAGAAAAGGTTGAAACAGTACAAAGCTATAATTAACACTCAAATTAAATATAGCAAGAAAGCTTCTAAATCAATGAAAACAAGATGTATAAACACTAATGTTAAATCTGACTTGAGTAGGTGTTACCCAGTAAATGCAAAAAACAATGTAACGGATTTAAGAAAACATTGCTGTCGAAGTACCTGCAAAGATGCACAAATAGCAGAGAATAAACCAGTGAAGGCAAGTAGTAAATCTAAAATGTTGCTTTATATATCAGATGTGTGTAATAGAGATAAGTGTTTGTACAGAGCTAGAAAAGGTATCGATACTAGTAGTAGCATGAAGTCTTGCATAAGTAAAAATTTACTACCTTTACAAAAACATCACGGACTAAAGAAATTTGCATCTAATATAGTTTGCCAAACACGCTCTTTGAAATGTGATAGAGGAAATCAATGTCCGTGTGAATTCATAACAAAACGTGATACCCATTACCCTAACTATCCAAAAAATGAAACCTATACCACACATCATTATCACAGTAGGGAGGGTTTAAACATAGGACGTTTAAAAGATTTTATGATTAATACTATATTGGGGAAAAAAGAAAGTAGTATGTATGACAACAATGTGTCAAGCCATGGTAAACGTATTAAACGAAAAATGAAACGATTACAAAAAGAAAAAAATAACGAAAGAAAAAAGAAACCCAAAAGACTGATAGAACAAAACGATTGTCTTAAGCAATTTAAGACAGAACAAAAAAAAATTAGAAGAGAAGCAAGGGGAATAGAGAAACTAGATGAGTCGTATGACAATAATTGTCCGATGGATTTCTTAGTAGGAGCTTGTGGTCTAGCACTTCGCGGTTTCAAAGGAATGTTTAATTTACTTTTTAATGTGATTACACAGCCGAGACAAAGTTGTAATTACATTAAAACTAGGTTAAAACACCCAAATGATACAATATGCCGATTTTCAAAATGGTGGATTATAGCTTGGCAACGACAAAAACTCGCCATGACAAGAAGTCTTAGGCGCTCGAAAATTTTACCAGATCAATTGACAAGAACACCTGAAGTCACGCCTTGTTACAAAAGTGCGTTGTTAGCTTCTTTGAGGACAACGCCATGTCTATGGGTGTATCACATTTGTCCAGATCTTTACCCTCAATTCTTGGAGCTTCTGAGGTGTTGGAGGAGTTTCACAGAAATTGTGTTGTTATTATTGGCAGTACTTGTGTGGTCGCCTTGTATCTTATGTTTTGAATTCTGTCGGTGTGTTTTGTGTTGTTGCTTGTGTACTTAAAAATGTAAATGTATGGTGTATATTTATTTATTTGAATGAAAATTTAACATTATTCATAATATAAGTAAACCGTTTGATTCACTATTATGTTTTTACTTGTTGTCTTGAACATAAATAAGGTAACGATTTACAAATAAATAAAGAAACAAATATTGTATTACTGTGAAATTCACTTATTAATGCAATACGGCGTGGCTGGAGGGCTCCCCCTTTTGTGTTGAAGGACAAAACAGTTTATTCACAGCATGACTCGTTTAATAATAATCCAATTTTTAATATAGGTATTCTTTTACAAACAAAATATACAAAACTAGCCTAGCCTAGCCTAGTTACCTCAGGAAAATAATATTACTTAAATCAATCTTAGAAAACTTAGATATGAAGAAATATAAAAAGCTGATTCATATCTTCAAAAAAGATATTATTATCTGATTCTTATTTATTCATACAATACATATCGCATTACCAGTGTTACTAAGCGCCTAAGAGACATGAATTAGCAAATCAATGATACAAAGTATGATGCTGAATTTTTTTAGCAGTATCCTATTCCTATGTTATTGAATAATAATGATGTTTTTTTTTTCATTTAAAGCATTGATAT